CCCAGAATGTCAGCTGTGTGCGCGTGTATTTGTAGTTCGTCTTGTTTTGAAGTTTTGTGGGCTACTTCCCTCTTGAAAAATTAAAATACAGCATGACGGTATTCTGTGAAAGACGATTTCTGGGATATACTGGAGCATTAGTTTATACCGATCTAGCTACTTTTATATAGTTTGTGCATTAATTCATCCATATCTTCAAAGAGAAAAAAACCACCTGTTGAAATTTTAGTGCAGATAACCTCTCGTTTATATATTTTATGAAATGGGGAGAAGAAAATTTGACAGAAATGTGAAAGTTGCTATTACCTTATAGAAATGCAGTGTACTTGCTGAGTGCAGGATGTTGGATACCAAAAGGTCCTTCTGACAGCTTGGCAGGGAATGCCAAGGGGATGGGCAGGCAGCAAGTCACCTGGAAATAGTCACCATCATTTACCCCCCCAAACCTTCTCAGGTAACTCGCAAGACAGATGCCAGAAATCATTGGAAAGCCAATAACACACCTAATTTAGATGCCTCTAAGAAGCCCTAATTTCTAGATAAGTTTTCACCTCCTGTGTGATACTGTGCAAGGTGGTTTGTGAATATCTGTGATGGATAATGTATATACTAAAAGACAAAAAATATTGACTTCACTCAAACTTTGGGAGCTTATTTCACTTTAGTCAAATAGACATTGCAACAGAAGTGACCTTAAGCTGTGAATTCTAGGCGGTGGTTTTTTTGGTAATTATAAGGGGTTTTTTTGGTTGCAATACTGTTGTATCAATTCCTTTAAACAAATTTATCAGTAAGTTTAAAATGTTTATATTTTTAGACCGTTTATTGCTGAAAAACTCTGGGGAGTGGAAAACATGCACGAATATCACTTTTTAAAATATTATGCAAATAACACCAAGTGTAGAAATGCTTGTGAAGCTCTTTGTGATCACACTCTGAAAAAATGAGAGCGCTGGTTGCAGATTGCCCACCTTCCCGTAATTCTCTCCACGGCTTTCAAGGAAAATATTTTGCACAAAAATGTGTTTTATACGAAGAAAAACATAAGATACTCTTCGTGTTTTTTTAAAGAGCTTCAGCACAGCAGTGCAAGGGCTGCTCTCTTCTTTCTTCCTGAGCTGTGTCCTCAGAAGGAAGCCTTCGGGGGCGAGCCGCGGGGCACACGAGTGGGTTCCTGGGCAACCTCCAGCGTCGGTACTGTGGCTCCCGTTTCCTCCCCCCCCCTTAGCAGCACTTTATGAAAAACTACAGTTGCAGAATCATAAAATCAGTTTAGAGATGATACCACTGTGCTGCTCCTACAGGAAGTTTTGTTTGCTGAGTGTTTTGGGTTTGTTTTTTTTTTTAAGAGTCTTCAGAGAAATTGCTTGTATATAGTGTTGCGGTAGCATCAGTGAGAAGAGTTTAGGGGTTTGGGTTTTGCTGGTTAATGCAGAAGTACTGGCACATCCATAAAACTGGCAAAACTAAAGGTCAGCTTGTGTTCTTGTCTGGCCAGTGAATAAGGAGATATTTTTATTTAAATAGTGGGCTTTCCTGACTGAATTATTTTTTGAGGACAGTCACCCAGTGATAGGCAAAGCTCTTAAATAGGGACTAAAAATCCCGTTCTCTTTAAGGGAAAAGCAATTGGAGCAGATTTACATGACATTTTGAAAGTGAATTGTCACGTACATTTGGCTGTTCCGTTCACTGCTGTGTTCCTTTGCCACGGTGGTGACTTATTTATAAAGCATCACCAGCTATACTTCGGTGTAAAAGAGATAATTTGGTTGATAAAAAGTTGGTATTGTTGGAGACCTGGACAGCAACATGAGAAAATAGACTACTTCAGATATAATCATCCCTGGAATGGAAAATAGAGTACAGAATGCAAATGATGAAGCAAAGTCTGAGGGGGAAAAAAAGAAAAAATCTGCTCTCCAGTTTGGAGAGGGTTTGCTGTGCTGAAAGACGCTGCTTTTCCCACCAGAAAACATTTCAGCCTGAGCTTTTCTCTCAGAGCTTTCACCTGTATTTCCAGATGAGATAAATCACTTGCATCATCTCAAGAATGCTGCTCTTTGTTTTGTTTTGTTTGTTTGTTTTTTTTTTTTTTTTAACAACAGCTTGTTGTTATGGACTCTTGGATTTCCAGTCTGGGACAGGAAGGATTCCATGTGAATTACCATTTGCCATTTTTCAATATAATTTGATAATGTTAACATTTTATGAGTTAATACCCTGGAGAAGCATTGGAAAATAAATAATGACCGGAAGTAAGGAATTTTAAGCCTTCCCTCTGATGGTTGGTTCTCATGGAATACTGTTGAGTTTCTTACTGTATGTATAATGTTGTATGTCTGTGTGTATATATATATATATATATATATATATATATATATATATATATATATATGCACTGTCGTCAGTGTGATCTGATAGAAACTATGCATGGTGATTAAACATGCTTTTTACGTTTTCCCAGCAATACTGTTCTTTTCAGCCTGTTCAAAAAATTGCCTTTTTCTGTCACGTCTCGTGTTCTGTGGAGTAGGTTGAACTGCTTCAAGGAGACAAAAAATAAACTTGGATGAGAGGAGTGTGAGGCAGAGCTCCGTGTGCGCTCAGCAGTGCCACCAGCATCCCTGTGTGCTAAAAAAAATGAACAAATTAACTCCAGGAGGATCTGTAGTGCCCGGGGTCTGTTCGCTTCTGTGGATCAGGGCTTGTAATGAGCAGTGCTCTGCGTGCATCCATTCTCATTTATTAAAAGGCTTTTTTTCTTGAATATCAACTTCCACTCTTCTGTTTGCTCATTTAATTATGTGGACTCTGCCTGATGTGAAGCAGGGTAGAAGCTGTTTCAATGTTAAAAGATTAGTGATGTGGCAATGTCTATTAACCGTTGCAAAAATGGATGCAGGACTGCGTTAGTGTTTTTGTGCCTGAAGAGCACAAACACAATGGCAATGGTATATTATACAAAAATATATTTTATTTGTTTTGTCATCAGCGGCAGGTGGTATAAAAGGTGCTTCTATAATTAACCTCCACTGACTTTTGCAAGGTCATAGTCAAGCCCAAAGAAATTTTATCTTTCTCTTAAAAAAGCTCTTTATAACTGCTGATAGTTTGGGAATGTGTCTGACAATAGTGTGTACTTTACCCTATGTAATTCTCTCCCTGGTTTTTTCTGTTGTAGTCTGAGATGATGAACAGCTTTCCTTTTCCCTTTATTGAAAATACAGGAATCTCCCACGTCGTAGGATTTAGCGAGGTGAGGTATGATGTGGGGGATCCCGCTCTGGGGTTATCCATCGTCATGGTAGTTGCTGGAAATGACTGAAATAGGCACGTAGGGAAAGTTACAAAAATTCAGTGAATTCTGATGTCAGAAGTGGTAAATTTAAGAACAGGAATCCCAGTTAGATTTGGCTTCTTGGAGTTTATACATCAGAGAGCTTTGAAGACAGAGAGGTTGGGCTCTCTTTGTAGCTGTTCACCTTCAGAGAGGAAGTCAGCTCATTTAGTTTGCTGTTGCATTTTGAGGGAAAAATCTTGGGTTTTCTTCCACTTCTAGATTTGTTGCAATGTTCTATCGGACATTTTTTTCCATGTAGTTTATGATGCTGTCTTTTTGGCAGAGGTGGCTTTCGTTTCAGGTCATTCTTACGTTTTCTTAAAAGTCAGCTCTCCTTGTGCATGAGCATATTTAGCTATGTTCACTGAGATGAGAATCAGATTAAGGTTCGTGCTGTTATGTAAATTTATAGGGCTTCAAATCTTGAAGTTACGACTAGGCTTAGGATATTTTTTTTTAAAAAAGGATAATATTATGCCATACAAAACTAGACAAGACTTCTTTTGCTATATAAATGTTTAAGAAAGTTGCCAAGTTTCAGTTATTTGTTACTGTGTTCCTTGAGACCAAATGGTCTAATACAAGTCACTAAAGGATTTTAACTAAGCTTTTAAAATTAGTTTGCACCTGCAGGGAAACAAACAGTTGAGTTACAAAAGGTGAGAACATCTATTCTGTTCTCACCAGCCTGTGTTTTCGCATAGCACGTGCTTGTACCCTGCATGCAGCAAAACGCTGGGGTGCTGCTCTGCAAGGACAGGCTGACGGCGTCTGACCTGCCACGCCGTGATCGGGGAGACCGGCTTGGGGTCCTCAGGGGTGAAAGCTGGTCAATCAAAAGTGTTACGTTGCCTGCTGGGAGTAAATTTGTCACTTTTTCATTTACATGAGAACGTGCAGGAGGAGTGGTATTTAACAGTTCTTTTATCTTTGCTCAGTATTTTCTTCGGAAGTTCTTTCTCCAAGTGGGGGGCGGGAAAAAAGACGTAATTAAATTAATTGTACAGATGAAAAGAACTGGGATATATACCAGAAAAAAAGGCAATGACTGTTTGAAACTGGTAGGTGATGTGTTCTGAAAGATAACATTTAGCTCCGAGAGTCTAAGACAAAATATATATGTCAGTGGTTTATATCAAGTAGCATTAGCAGGTTATTCTCAGGTCCACCTTCTTGCATGCTTTTGCTCTCAGCATTATGTACGAACCGTGTGATTTAAAGCATTTCATATTTACGTTCAGTTGAATTTGATGTTTCCTGGTAGGTTTAAAAAACAAAACAAAAACCAAAAACCAGCTTCTTGCTATAAAGGCAGTCTCTGCTGGAGTGTGAATAGAAATCGGAGGGCTGTTCTGAAGTGTACAGCAGCGCAAGAGCACTCTGGCCTTTTCAATAGAAGTAGATTGTTAGGAAAATAGAAAAAAGTGGCTTATATGGTTTGTAAGCAGTGAGAAATCAATTCACAGGTTACAAATCACAAGGCTGTACTTTTCACAGGTGGCCGTTCTGCGATGTTCAGAGGCAGTGCTGTGATATACTGCTTTGCCTGTTTGAGGGGGGAGTGAGGAGCTACGTGTCCGAGATGCAAGTAAAATACATATAGAAGTGAAATATTTTAATATAAATACAGACGTGAACCCCATGTTTTTGCTTTCAGATTTAACAAATCAAGTAGAGACGATTGAACTGAAGCTGCAGAAGGTAACAGCCGAGATGGACCACTACAAAAAGCTGCTAATGTAAGATTTCTGGGTGCTTGATTGGTTTGCCACCGCGCATAAAGCTGCGACAGAGCGCTGCTTTTCAGAGCGCGCTGCTTGTTGTGAATTTTTGAGAAGGTTGTGACCAACAGGGAAAATATTTTATCGTCATATTAAACGGTCTGTATTTCTAACCACCTTTCTGAGCGTGTCTGTCTGTGGAAGCAGGGCTTTCTTCCTCCGCCCGTGTTTAATGGTACAGCAAAGGTTAAGTCAGCTCAATCCAACACTTTGTTTAACACACAATTGTAGGATAAGCTTTGTGCAATCCATGTAACTTCTGGGCTAAAAATGTGTGTGGAAAGTAGTAGGTTTGGGGTGGAGGGAAAGGTGCAATAAAACTAATCAGAAACTTTAGTATTTAATCAGTGCCTAGTATGTGGAGGGGGCCGATAAAAGAGAAATCAAAATTTGCTGTGACTTTTCCCCATGCCCCAGTAGGCCGTTGCAGTCTGTAATTTTACCGTGCCACGCCTACGGCTTCAAGTAAACGTCTGCAAAACCCCCGCGAGTAGAGCGAAGGTAGCACGTCAGCGGGTACCTGTCGGTGAGGCGCGGTGAGTGCAAAGCGAGCGCTGAGGCCGGGTGAGGAACTCTGCTCGCCCAGCCCCGGCGCTGCTGCGGCCCGTGGGCTGAGGGGAGAGCAGAAAGGAATCCTCTCCCGAAACCTGAGGAAATGAGAAAAAAGGTGCCCCTCTTCCTTACAGCGTCGGGCTGCCGTTGCGCGCCGTTCTCCGGGGCCAGTGCTGGCGGAGGGGCCGCCCTCGAGTGATGAACCATGAGTGCCAATCTCGAGACCAGCTGTTATCGGTGGTTTTGTGTGTTTTCCTGAAGTTTAAACAAGGATATGTTCTTTTATGATGTGTACTTTCTGGTTTCAGTTCCTATATTCAGAGGGTCTGATCATAACGAAGTTGCAAATATTTGGAATGCTTAGCAACGGGGTGTTTTAATGATAATAACAAGTACTGAGCATGACAAAAAGATTTTGTCAACTCAGTTAAATAAACAGTAAAGGGTTTCCAAATGTAATATTAAAATTTCAATGTAATATGGGTACAATTTAATAAAATAACATATTCTATATCTGTTTAAATGTAAATATGACGCTTAACCATGGTTATTAATTGGTGAAATGATGACATAGTGACAAGAAACCTGCAAAGTTTCCAGCCCTCTTACCTACTAGGTCGTTATTTGTTCATTTTTATTCATATCTTACTTGAAACCTTCATCAGTGTTGCAACACCTCACTTTCTTGCTTGCAACATTAAACTTGTGATCCTGGATCATGCTGAGATTATATTGGACGTGTAACTTCCAGTTACTTAAAAATGTTTGCTAGAACCAAAAGAACTTTTTGTTTGTTGTCTGCCTTTTAACTGAAATAGAAAATGCAAGTTAGAGAATACATCAATAAATGACGTTCAGCTTACTGCATGAGTAAGGGTTATCATTTCTTTGGACAATACGTGGTTTTTTTAATGTTTTCTTAGGGTGAAATCAACGGAACTTGATGTCTGTCAAAATGAGCTGAAAAAAATGAAATATGAAAATGGAATTTCTGAGTCAAGGTAAATGCTGCAATTATATTTGCTCATAACGTATACATTTCTGAGCAGTGAGAGCAAAAATGTTACGCTTTTAGTGCAGTTTGTATACAGTATTTTTTTTTTCTATTTTTGTGTTCAACTCACTAGATTTAGCTTCGTAAGGAATACAGAGGGTTTTGTCCAGTATTTTATTTTTCAGGTACAAATTATCTATTTAGTTTGTCTGTAAATGAGAATACAGTAACTACAAAACTCATACTTTTTTATATCATCTGTAGACTTATGAAAGAGCTCAAGGAAAAGGAGGAATCTCTTCTGATTTCCCAACAAGTATGCAAACATCTACAGGAAGAAATGGCTGAGAAAGAAAGGAAAGAAGAAGATCTAAAGAGAAGAACCAGTCGATCAGAAAGTGAGCTGGAAGCACTTAAAGCTCTTCTTAGACAGACAGAGGAGGAGGTGGTAATGTTGAAACAAGAAAGGTAATGGGGTAATTTGGGTAATTCCTGCGCCTGGATGTTCGGCCTAGCTTGTCTCTTTGCAGATCTATTAAAAATGAAAACGTTCCTCCTCTGCCAGGCCCTCAGCCTCTGTCGGTGTTGCGGAAGGGACAGCTGGGCTCTGCCAAGGGGGGGTTGTGCCGCTGGGGTGCGGCGGCCGAACGAGGAGCACGGGCGGGGAGAGCCCCGCCGGTCCCAGCTCGGTGCTCCGACGTCGCCGCCTTGCCTGGGCGCTCGGGACGGTCCTGCCCTGCCACTGCCCGCTCTCAGCTCCTGCTTTTAGGGCAAAACTCTTAAGAGCCTTGGCAGCCCTGAGCTCACGTCCTGGGATTCCGGAATTCATCGGTTGGATTTTTTAAATTATTACCGGATGGACAAAACTGGAATGATAAAGTAAAAAAAAAAAGAAAAAAGCCTGTTAAAAAAAAGGGGAAAAGGCCTGCTTTGCAGTGCAGGGCTTCAGCTCAAGCATAACCCAAACACCCAGTTATTGTAGCTGCTCTTTGTTACGTGAGGCTTGTAGAGCAAAAGCCCAGCAGAGTTTCAATTCCTGTAACTTAGGTTATTAGCAACTTGCAAACCGTAACGATTCTACGAGTATTACAGTGGGGCAGGTTGTTGGATAGGGTCTAGTATTCGGTGGAGAGGATGGGCAAATTCCCACCAGTCTGGTCTTATTTTGAAAGTTCTCCGATATCAGTGAAGCTGCCATTTTCCCCGTAATTACTTTTCACATGTGGAAAATAAAGCACTGAGATTCTGAGGATTGTCTTTCCTGGAATGGTAGCTAGTCTGAGTGCGTTTGTTCCAGACTTCTGCACTTACCAACCTAAATCCACATTTTTTTAATTGCTTTGAGTGTAATCTACATATCCAGTTTTATTCCTGACAACCACAGGCTTGTTTTTACCACTTGAAAGTGTCCTGCTCATAAATTTTCAGTTACTGATAAATTAGCTTGTCTTTTATTGGCAAAATAGAAAGTGCTGTCCCCTAATTAGGACATGCTAGCATCTTATTTATTTGATTTGTGTACAATGGGAAATGTATTCAGAAAAGGGCGTTTTGGAGAAGATAAGCATTTTCTCAGTGTTGTACACCAAGAGGCATTAAGCTATTTTCATATTTAACGGGTCTGAATATTCCCTGTGCTTTAGTAGCTGCATGAAAAGATATTACATGTTAATTTAAGAATATTTCCCTTCTACTTAAACCCCAGATATGCGAGTTGTTCCAGTTGGTACATTGCTAATAATCTAAGTTACAAGAATTTAAACTCTCCAGGGCTTTTGCTCTACAAGCCTCACATAACAAACAGTAACTGTAACAATAGAAAGCACTCAGTGGTTTTAATTCAAAACCTATTACAATTTTTTAATTAATGATAGTAATATTCCAAGTTCATTAAATACAACAATTTCTGGTTTGCATATCATAACAGGTTTCCAGTGCTCTTCAAAATTTGACTTGAGAAATATTAAAAACACTTGAGGTTTAAATATGTGTGTGTGGAAGAAAGATCAACTATATTATTCTCTTTAAAACCTAAAATTCATAAAGCATGTGATGGCATTATGCAAATGTTACGTCGTGATTACTGCTGGGCCTTGGGGCTCCAGGCAGGATTGCTGGGCTTATTGCACAGAATACTAAACAAAGAGGAAAAGACGAGCCTTTGCCACAAAGGACTTAATTGCAAGAAAATGGCATACCACCAATCTGGGCAGAGCACATATTTACATACGAGTTTTTGTGGTTTCTAGGGAGTTAATGCTGATTTCTCATCAGAACAGAACAGAGCAGCTGCAGGAAACATTAAGACAGAAGATGCGGAATGAAGATAACTGGAGGGAGAAGGTAATACTGGATGTGCAGTTGGCACCCTTCCGTTTTTTTGTGTTTTTTTTTTTTTTGTTTTGTTTTGTTTTTTCAGTTGTAGTCAGCTGTCTCGAATGAGTCCAGTAAGCCAGATGATACCTATCTCCTCAAGTGCAAACACGTCAACAGTATTCTTTGTACGAGAGGTTTTCATGGGTGATCTCTCTCCATAGGTTGGACCTGAACGCAAAAGGTATTTAGTATGAGCAGATGTTCAGGTCTGATCCAGAATTCCCAGGTTTCAGGGTATTTGCAGAGTGCCTGCGTTAGGAGTGCAGTCCCCTGGAAACCTGGGTGTGAGGAGCAGGACTGAGCCCACTGAAGCTCTGATCTTCCCAGCTCCGTGCTTCCTCCTACACAGGCTCCCAGGGGGTGAGCGGACAGAGCCCACCCTATTCTCTGTGCGGCGGTCGGGGTTAGAAACCCTGAACCACAATTCTGCGTGGGGAAGCCTGGATTTGTTTCCTGACACATCTGGCAGAGACGCATAAAAAAGTGTACGTGTAACATTGAAGTAGTTTCCCAGTAAAAACACGGTTGAGCGTTGTTGACGAGATGGAGGTTAGGCGAACTGAAACTGAAGATTGCTATTTGTAAAACAAATCTATACAATAAATAGCAAGCAGGCGAGCAAAAACGTCCTTTCCTTAGAAGGCGGGTATTTGCAAACCAAAGCAGAGCTCAACAAACAGGCTGCTGTAGCGGAGTGATCCTGGAGCTCCCAGGAGCCGTGGAATAGCAAAAGGCAGCCAAGTTGTTAGCGTATGGGTGCTGCAGGAGGCGAGAGGTGCGGGGGTCCTTAAATTAGCAGCGTCATCTCGCTCCCGATCTGAAGTACCTGGCGGCGTGGGGGCCGGGGTACACGTGCCCCTCCAAGCAGCCCCCTCATTCACCTGGCCTGGCCGGCTCTGCGCGCCCACGGGCAGGGCCAGCAGCTTTGGTGGGAGATGGGTCTGGGCTTGATGAGCACATGGCTAATTACAGCCCGGGGCTCTCAGCAGAAAGGGGGTGGTGCAGGCTGTCAGCTGCAATGGGGGGGGGGGGGGGGCTAGGAGCGCGGTGGGTGGGTGGAGGAGCGAGGGTACACGGGGGAATTGGGAAGGGAGGCTGGCAGTGGGAAGAAGGCATGGGGCTCGTCCGTTCGCTTGAGCTGGGGGGCTTCACGGTGACAGAGAGCTAAAGGAGTTGCACAGAGAAAGTCAGAACAGACCTTCGGGGTGTGAAAGGTTTCTGCTCTTTCTGCTGACCTCTGGCATCGCCTGTTCCTTTCGGGCAGTCGCATCTCTGCCAAACAGGCTTCTGCTAATGACTCTGCTGTTTTGGTTTGGGGTTTTTTTTGTTTGTTTTTTCCCCTTGCCTTCCCTTCAAATCAGAGCAGTATGCCACTAGAGCCTTCGGTGAAATTTACTGTGAAAATACCTCTGTATTTCATGTGAAAAGACTTGACACTCCTATGACTTGGCTTCTCCGTGAAACGGCCCATCCTTTGTTACTTTATTCATTGAGTCTTCCAAAAGCCTGAAAAGCCACTTTCATACACCTTCCCACCTAGACTCTTTTGGTAATTGGGTGATGGTTCCTACCACAGTGAGGAGGAAGGGGAAGGTGGGAGGAAGAATGACACACCTTCCATACATGCATGCTCCTTTATACATACCCATTGTTCCTTTATTTAATGGAGTGAAGGAAAAAAGAAATTCAGCAAAGGATACAGAGGAGAAGGATGGTTAAAATACAGCCAGGAGGACACCCCAACTTCGGGGGGTGACTGGCTTCTTTGGGGAACAGAGAGTGGGAAAGAGATTAGGTCTAGTCCTGGTCCGTGGGTGTAGGATACAAGCTGCTCAGCCCCCCGGCACTGTACGCGTTGCACAAGTCTGTTCCACAAGCGTCAATTCCTCTTATCATGTGTTTTCTTGGTAGAAGGGTTTCCCACCACTACTCACACCTTTAATTGACATTATTGCATTCTACAAAGTTAGGTTGTAATTTGTTAGTCGTCTTTTAGTACGTACTTGGTTTTAGGGTCTTCTGTGGAGAATATATTTTCAGCTGATGTAAAAAAAAAATATATGTGTATGCCCACTGCACGTGCTAATTGGATCGGTTTCTTAGCTAATTGCACAATTGGTTGGGATGTGGCGATGCTACAGCTCCTCATTCGTGCTGGGCTTTGAGCAGCCTCACTGCGTAACGGCTGTCTCCGCAATCGGGACCTGTGGCGCTGCTATGCAGGACAGGTGGCTTTTTCTTGGAGTTTTGGGTCACAGAATCACAGAGTCGTTTTGGTTGGAAAAGACCTTTAAGATCCTTGAGTTCAACCGTTAACGTAGCACTGCCAAGCCCACTGCTAAACCGTGTCCTGAAGCACCACGTCTACACATCCTTTAAATACCCCCAGGGATGGTGACTCAACCCCTTCCCTGGGCAGCCAGGGCTTGACAACCCTTTGGGGGGAAGAAATTTTTCCTGATATCCAATCTAAACCTCCCCTGGTGCAACTTGAGGCCGTTTCCTCTCGTCCTATCGCTTGTTACTTGGGAGAAGAGACCGACCCCCACCTCCCCACAACCTCCTGCAGGCAGTTGGGGACAGCACGGTCTCCCCCCGGCCTCCTTTCCTCCGGGCTGAACCCCCCCAGGTCCCTCAGCCGCTCCTCACAGCGCTTGTGCTCCAGACCCTTCCCCAGTTCATGGTCCTTCTCTGGACGCCCTCCGGCACCTCAAGGTCTTTCTTGGAGTGAGGGGCCCAAACCCGAACCCCCATACTTGATGTGCAGCCTCCCCGGTGCCAAGCACCCATCCCTGCCCTGGTCCTGCTGGCCACACACTTGCTGACACAAGCCAGGATGCCCTCGGCCACCTGGGCGCACCGCCGGCTCCTGGCCAGCACCCCCAGAGCCTTTTGTGCCCGGCAGCTTTCCAGCCGCTGGGAAGTTCTGAGCTGGAGACTCTTAACCGGGACCGGGGAGTCCAGCTGCCGGTGTCTTCCAGTGGGATTTGGAAAGCCCTTAACCGTAAACAGCTGCGAGCATGCAAACTTTGATTTGATCTGCAACTTTTTCACGTGAGCACAAAAAAAAAAAAAAAAAACACAAAACTGAATATAAATAACAAAAAACAAAAACACACAAACAAAAAAAAAAAAAACAAAACCCCAAACAAAAAAAACAAAAAAACCCCTCAAAAACAACAACAAAAAACCACAAAAAAAACAACAACAACAAAAAAAAAACAACAACAAAAAAAAAAAAAAAAAAAAAACAAAAAAAACCAAAACAAAACCCAACTGTGAAGGAAAAATTGAAAATAGAGTTAAACAGTATCTCTGACTTTTCTGACTTAAGCTTTACATAATTGGTGACTAAAATTCCTGTCTTTTTTGGTTCAGTACGTGATAAGTGTCTGAAAGCTTTATTTAGTCTCAGAAAAATTTTTGGACTACTAGCAATTAAGATCAGTTACATTTCTTTTAAGGCTTCTTAAGCTTTCTGTCACAGGATATAATTTTAGAATGAGGTCACACTGTCTGCATAATCGCAATGTATTGTTCAGCCTGACATTAAAACAAAATAAAGATTGCTACTAGTAAGAGAGAACAATTACAGCTTTGGTATCACAGCCATTAGAATCCAGTGAACAGCAAGTGCTCTAAGAATGTTCTCATCAGACAAAAGAATCAGAAATGTGACAAAGTAACAAAGTTATCTTTTTCTTGGGTCACTGTGCCATTGCGTAAGTATAAAGTGTTCCCATTTTCTATTTAAAAATACAGTTAAACCTTAAATTGTTTTAATGGAACAGCAAAAAAATCTCTTTTACAAAAGATTTTAAGATTGATGTAAACGTTTGTTCTATGGATTTTTAAAATATTAATTAAGGAGGGACATGTAAGGGGTTTTAAGGCAATTAGTAGCCATTATGCTTGCTTTGAAAATCAGCTGCTATTTTAGTTCCTGTTCTGGTTATCAGCTTTATTAGCTTCAAGTGTTAAATGTAAAAAATGCTTGTGTAATCTCCAAAATGAGCTCAGCTTTTCATACTGCTTTTATTTTTTTTAGTCTTTGTAATCAAATAGCCTCCAACATATGATCTGCTTGTATAATAATTTAGTTAGTAAATTTGTTTTTCTGTGGTTAGAATCCTAACTCCCATATCTAATAACGTGGAAGACATATTTAAAATAGTAATAATAATAACAATACTAATAGTCTACTTTGAGGATCTTACAAATATATCGGTTTTAAGCTAAACCTTACTGGGGGATTTGTGCCCACTCCATGCCCAGCACTGGATATATTCTGATTTAAAAAATAATGAAAATATTTCTTGTTTATCTTTTCCCCCAAAAGAGTTAGGGGGATTTGTTGTACTTTTGCTCGTAATTAGTGTGTGAAATTAGATAATTGTAATTAAGCTCATTCTGGGCTTTTCTGCTTTTAATAATTTTAAGTAATTAAGCTAGCGTTGTGCGTGTTTAATGTGCCTTTCACATTCTTTCAGCATGATACAATTAAGTCCATTAGAATTCAGCCTGCAGAAATATAATATTAGCATACTAGTTTAGGAAAAATATTTTTCAAAATACGGCCTTTGGTATTTCCTCCAGAACCCAGGCTTTTGTCTTCAGAAGACGATGGATGCATTTTCCAATTTTAATTTGTAATATCTTAGAATATTTTCCAATTTGAATTTATAATATTAAATACATGAGATGTCTTAAGGACTGGGCTATTTTACCCAGAATTTGCAACTCTCGCTTTCATTTCTCTGCCTTTTTTTGGTCCAGAGTTTATCCACTAAACGTGCCATCGGTGCCGTGTTGTCGGGACCCCAAAATGAGCTGGAGGTGCTGAGCCGTGGGGCCTCGGAGCTTCTGGGGAGCTCCTTCCCCTACCTTCCCGGTATTTACAGCAGGTTTAGGGGAAGGGGGACACGGGATAAAATGTAGAAACAAAAAAAAAAAAAAATATTAAAAGCAGGTGGCACGTGTGGAGTACGTGTCATCAGAGCGTGGTCCCTGGGAGCAGACACAGCAACACTTCTAGCAGGAAGCTGCTGTTCCTTCACACAGAGCGTGAATCAAAAGTGGTCTTGTAAGGAAGAGTTAACATCTTCATATTTTAATATTGAGCTTATGGCCTATTTTTAGCACGGTAGATGTCATTTACTGTGAAATCGTAGAAAATACCAGGTTGGGAGGGACCTCGGGGATCAGCTGGTCCCACCTTTCTTGGCAAAGCCCGGTCTAGACAGGGTGGCCCAGCACCCCTGTCCAGCCGAATCTTCCAAGTGGCCAATGCTGGGGAATCCACCTCTTCCCTGGCGAGATTATTCCCGTGGCTGCTTGTTCTCACGGTGAAAAATTCTCCTCTTGTGTCGGGTCAGAATCTCCCCAGCAGTAGCTCGTACCCGTCGCCCCTCGCCTTTTCCGTGGGACTCCTCGTACACGGACGGTCTCCACCTGCCACCCTTTAATTAGCGGAACGCGGAGATAAGGTCTCCCCTAAGCCTCCTCTTCTCCACGCTGAACAAACCCAGTTCTCTCAGCCTTTCCTCACACGGCTGCCCGGGCCCTTGATCATCTTTGTGGCCCTTCTCTGGGCCATCTCCAGCCAAAATGTATCATTTTGCTGCATTTGAAAATGATAACGAGCCGAGTTTTACCTCCAGAGCAAATGCTTCCGGCAAAATAATCATCCATTTTTAATGCAGCGGTCAAGGATTTTGTAATTCAGTGTTCTCGTAGTGACTGAGCGTGAAGTTCAACCGCCTAAATTTAGGCACCTTAGCACCTCTTGAGACCCCCCGGGGCCCGTGAGACATCTTCCCCGGGGCCGCCCGTCATCGCTCCGAGGGTTGCCAGCGTTGGGTTGTGTTTGTTCAGCGCCCCAAATCTCGCGCTGCCAAGTTTCACATCGCCGCCTTTCGTCGCGGTGTGGAATGTGAAAAAATGTTCTCAGCGGAGCTGCCACGTATCTGTTAAAACCCCTTGTTCCCTAGATGGAAATTGATCTGGCGAAGGGTGAAGCGCGGCACAAGGAAGCGATTCTTAAAGTCAAGGAAGAGGCGAGAGTGGAACTAGACATTGAGAGACAAAAACAGCAAGAACTAATCACAAAATACCAGAAGGACCACGAAGAGCTCCAGAAGAAGGTGTGTGGTGCTCAAGAGAAAAGTACTGCGGCAGTAGATAAAGTATTGAAAAAATGGTATATGAGGGAATAAAACCTTTACGTGTAGCCCTGTATCTGGATGATGCCCAGCCTTAATATATGGCGTATGCTTGTTTGTTTTTTGTAATGGAATGGGCTAAAAAGTAACTCTTCTAGTTAAAGTTAAATGGTGTGGACGTTCTTTCTTTTCTCATGTTTTCTCTGCCCAGGGTTCATCTACGTCCGTAGACTGTAGTTGTTAATAATTTTTAAACTGACATCATTTTTAAAAGCGTTGGACTGGTTCAGACCGTGACAGGTTGTCGCAAAACCATCCACACTGTTAAGTTGTCCCATTTTTACCTCTATTTCTGTTTGCTGTTGGACATACTCATTAATCTCTTTGTTCTGAGTGAGTTTTGTTTCTTTTACAGCTCTCTGATATCCTTTGAGGGTATTGTGTAAATTCAAAGCAATTTTTTTTTTTTTGTCTCTGAGTACATGTATGTTTACATTTTTTTTTTCCTGAAGTCAACATGTGTCTGATACTTAATTCAACATATCTAACAATATCCACTGAATGTAGATTAATGCAATTTTTGTCTAATCCAATGCAGATACCAGGATTAATATCCAGTGCCACCAATAGCTTAAGGATGGAGACAGAAATTCTTGAAAAGAAGCTACAAGATGCTCAGATCAAACTTGCAGAGAAAGATGAAGATAAGGAAAAAGAAATTCAGAGCCTTAAAAGAGTAATTACTGAACTCGAATTTCAGCTGACGATGGAAAAGAACAACAATGAATCATTTTTGGATAATATGAGGAAAGAAATTAAACACAAGTCAGATGAACTGGAAAAATTAACCCAGGAGAGGACACAGCTGATTCACAATTTGAGTCAAGTTCAAGAGGAGGTAGGAACATGACCGAGGAAATGCCTTGCTATTTTTACTTAGAGGCATGTGATTTCTAAAATCGTTCACAGCATCTATATTTCAGGCCCTGTTATATACTGGTTTAAACCCCACTGAAATGAGAAGGCTTATGAAACAAGTCTATCATCATTTCATAAATGCAATATGTCACAAAATATGTGAAATTTTTGATTCGGCAAGCGCTTAAACTAGTGTTTTATTTAAAAAATATATATATTTTTCAGGTCCCACAAGACGTTTGTTTCCTAGTCTCTAGCCTCACGTAATGCCACATAAACATGAGTAAACAATAAAGCATTCTTCATGTTTTTAAAGTAGAAGACATGGACATTTCTCATTCTTTGAACCGGACAGCAGCAATCCTGCCGGTAATCTTACCTATTTTGGAAATCATTTGTAAGAAAACCCTTCATACTGTCGATTGGAACGAGAGTGGACACAGCCCTGTTCTGAAAGGCTTCTGGGGCGGAGATTGCATCTTTTATTGTGGGAGTATGTGCGTGCACCCTGCCGTGCTAATGGGGATGTATCCCACCTCCCACCAGTAAAGCCACTCTCCGTAGCACAGGAATGCGTAATAGTTAACCAAACGTGAAGAGAAATTCGACTGATGGGCATTCTTACAACAAGCGTTTGCTGGATGTTTGGAACATAGTGGGAAGGGAGGAGAGCGACCTGTACTGCTCTGTGAGAAATGTGAAAACAGTGAGGTCGGGGAGCGCAGAGAGGACTAGGCTGGAGTGTCCAAAGTAATTAAGTGGCAGAAAAAAATCGGTAAACAGTGAAAAAAAAACCCTTCAGCATTAATTAGGGCTTGGGTTGATATTTATTTCTTCCTCGAAAAAGGTTCAGAAACACTGTCTTAGTGAAATTAGAATGATGTTGGCAGCCCTTCTGTCCCGTACCGATGGAAAAGGCTCTTGGAAAGACGTGCGCTCTTCACGTGCTGGTGGGGCTCTTCAGCAGGGGAAGGAACACACTGTTACCCTCAGTCGTGAGATTCAACCCGCTCTGCTTAGGTTCTTAGTGTTCCCCACTTTGAAACAGAGTTCCTTCTCTAATATAGCTATAGTGGAAAACGGGGAGAGAAGAGTGGTTGCAAATTGAAGCGGGTTTTAAGATAAACTTCGCACCAGGACACTGCCTCAGATTTGCAGGTGGCAATTCCCAAATCATTTCACGGGCTATCGGTGGCCACCTGAGTGGCAGGGAAAGTAACATCTAACTTTCTTTCATTAAGTTGTCTGCAGAGTTAGGTATTCGGAGAAGTTATTTTGGATGTTTACGTCACTTCTACACGTGGTTACGTTCCTTCTCCAACAGCTCCTTCGCTTGCGCTTGACATAGAGGTTAGCCTGAGCAGAATTTCTGTGTTTCCACTCTACATCCACTCCAGATGCTTTGACCAAAGGAAAAGTTTCAAATCTAAAAAAATTGGTCAGCAAAGGCCTTTTAATTTCTCCATCATTTTTCAAGTTTTGATGGGAACACACATGCAAAAATGTAATAAGTTGTAGTAACCTCTTGGCTAAGCAGCGCTTACCACCTTCCACTTCCGTGGGATCACGCTTCTGTGCGCTGACTTTGCTGACACCAGTATTCACTCTTCAAAATGTCCCAAAAGTGCTAGCGAGATTATCTTTCTTACACGTTTTCCTCCCCCTGTATACCCCCACTCCCATAACCACGTCGAGAATTTCAAATGCCAATGTCTGTCCTCGCGTCAAGGTGGTGGGTGACCTGACCCGGCCTCCAGCTCGTGTTCTCAGCGTTTTTACTCAGAGGTTTACAGAGGCAAGTCTGCGGCCGGGCGGTGAGGTTGTGCATGCCCGAGGGCGTTCTCCATTTGACTCCATCACCGCCCTGTGTTGGAGACCGCCTTGGCGGCTGCTTCCCTCCCGTTCTCACGGACCTCCCGGTGTCAGCAACAATCGCTTGCTTAGAAGAACAAAAAAGTGGTTTTTTGCTGCTCGTAGAATTGCTGAAAGTACTAATGACTTCTATGAATCAACTTAGTGTTGTCCCCCCTTTGTGTTTTATTTACTTTTTGTTTCGGCTGGAAATCAGGAAAATCAGCATCACAAGTAAGTTCTACCTCATATGCCAACTGGGGGACTTCCGTAATACAGAAGCAGTTTCAGTTCTCTGCTCCAGGCCCGGCAGCAGTCAGAATTTAGGTATTTTAAACCACGGAGGAGGATAACTTCTTGAACATCTTGTCAAAATGAAGTGGCACAGGAATACTCAACCTCTGTCCACTGCCTTTTCCTTTCCAAGAGCAGCCTTCCCAATTTCCCCCCTAGTTGGAGGACAGGCAGGAGACCAGAAATAACTTCTGATGGCTGACCTCGTGTTTTCCACTGTCTCCTAAAGGGAACGAAGGGTGTGTAAATGCTGATGCGTGTCTTTCGAGTGACTTTCGGAGAAACCAAAATGTGGGGAGGTATTGCAGGAGTTGTGTGCGTCGGTTCCCCTCCAGCCAGCCCTGCCTTAAGCCCGAGGAGCTGCATGGGCACAGTTTGGGATTAATGGCATTTCGTAAAGCCAGTGTTTGTTTCTGTTTGCAGAACACTCTCCTCCAGGAAACGGTACGCAGAGAGTGTGAGGAACGCTATGAGCTGACTGCAGCTTTGACTCAGGCCAGAGAACAAGTACTGGAACTCAAAAAGCTCAGTGGAAACTTCCCGTTATCGCCGTGTTCCCTGGCTCAGGGCAGCCTAACCTCCCCTGCTGCCCTGCTCGCTGATTACGGGCAGAAAAGCCGCCCAAGCTCCGGCGCTGGGAAGGAAATCAATCTCCCTGGACAGTTTGGTATTTCGAGAGCTGCTAAGGCACCCACCCCCGGTAAGCGTAACGGCAGCGTGGGCTTGCCGGCGCTCACCCCACCGCATCCTTCGAGGGGGAGGGCGGCGTCGCTGAACGAGCCCAGGAGCAGGATCGCTGCCGTTATCAGAAGGCAACTGAGTCAGCTCTGACAGCTACACCCCCACAGCACCGGGGGGGGGGACCATCCCAGAGCGTCAGAGGACCATTTGCTTGCAGACCCCCTGCGGTCAAATCTTAGCCAAGGCGCTTCATGCGTTTCTACAGCTTCATTTAAAGTTTTCTATACTTCGGATGCAATAATGTTTCTTTCTCCACTGCATATCAAGTCCATTAAATGTGATCTACATCTCAAGAGGAGAAAAGGAAAACTACTGTCTCTCCGAGAGGAGAACATCTTCAATATGTATAATTAAAATAATTGCCAATTCCCGCTCTTGTTTTCCCTAACCCCTTCCGTGGAATTTTCCTCCTTTGTGTGTTTTCCCATGTAACTCAATTGCTCGTTTCTGGTGTAAAAATGTGACTTGTTCGGTTAGAATCTGATTTTTGCCATTATTTAATTGAGTAGTGTTATATTTGCAAATAATTATGCTTAGATCAGCGAGGCTCGCTAGTTGTGGAGTATATCCCACTCGGCATGAAAATGTGGCAAATCCGTGCGCTCCGTCGACCAGCCATTGGCAGGGACGTGGCTCTGTGTGCAAGTCTTCAGGCTGTGCTAATTAACAACGAGTTGAAGACTTAATACATTTTGTCCAAAAGATGGTCGCCTCTTGAATTTCATCAGAAAAGTGTCTTTCTGTTCAGCGTAACTTTTAGCTTCGAAGTAGTCACACTGGAGTTCTCTGTAAAATTGTTACGCGGGAGGATCAGTGTTTTTATTTTACTGCTTGATGGATGGAACCGTGGTTTGGTTTGGAGCAGGAAAAGCCCAGAGGAGTCTCGGTTGTCTTCGGTAGGGTGCAGATGCTGCAGAAGTAGCTGCTTTTCCAACAAGGCAGCTCTGCTGTAGGGGTGGGTTGTCAGCGTGGAGCACTGGGTGGGCTAAGCGGGACCACGGTGGGCAACACGGACACAGTCTCGGATTTTCCTTCCTGCGTCACCAGATGCTGAAGTGTTTTGGTCAGATGAGGCCGAACAAGGGGCAGTTTGGTGACAGTAACAGGTTCGGGAGACAGCCCCAGGGCTCATCGGCCAAGGAGGGGCGGTGGAGGGGCCAGCTCAGCTTGGTAAGTCCCGCGGTCTGCCGCGTAGATCCAGCGCGGATCCTCTGGGGCCAGGGTGGGAGCTGGGGCCGAGCTCCAGGGCCGGTGGCACAGGGACAGTTCAGATCTTCTGGTGCCCCCAGTGCCCCCTCTCTTGACAGCCTGCTCTTCATCATCTTCCGAGACCATCAGCTCTGGCTTGGACGGAAACTTCGTGGGAGGTAAGTTAGAGGGGAACACTTTGGAGGCTCTCAGAGCCCCCGTATGAACAGCTGCACAACTGGAATTACCCGCTTCGCTTTGTGTTGTGGGACTGGGCTTGCTCTTCACGTCCCAGGACACGTGTAAACCCCAATAGATTTATAATAGCCCCATGAACCTGGGCCTTCTGGTTACTGACGAGATCATCAGAGTGATGAGATAGTCCCGTACGTGACCAAATGACAGCAGTGGGCCACGCCTTCAATGCTGGAGACAATCAGAAAAGCTTTCCTGAATCCAGGGGCACGACAGGGAATGCTTTTTATTCAATAAAACCAGTGGGAGAAATGACGGCTGTAGATTTAGCCCCTGGAGGTAGATTTGAAAACACGCTTTGTCTCAGTCAGCTTCTGTTCCCACTGAAACCATCAGTATGCCTTACCTGATTTCAGTGGTAGCAGAGTTTATCCAAAAGCTCCCAAATCCTCTCTTCACAAATTCCAAAAGCAATGAAAGAACAGTATTTTAAAAGATAACTGGGGTAGGTGCTGCTGCATGGTGTAGGTACCCTGCAGCCGCCTGGCAGACTGAACAGACCTGGGCTGACACTCCTATGCACTCACCTCAGAAAAACTGTTGCCAAAACCCGGCGGATCGGGGTGTGTTAAGATCAGACACAAATTCTGTCCCCGGGAGAGCGTCGACTCGGGGTGGTGGAGGTCTGAGCCTGACATTTCACCCTGCAGCTTTGGCTGTGAGCGAGGCCAGCTTTCCCCCCCCTGCAGAAGAGCCCGGCTCTGCCACGTCCTCCCTAAGCTCAGCAGAGGCTTGTCCAGCTTCCTAAAACTCAATTAAGCTCAATACCAATTGACTAATTAATCAGCCAATGGGAAGAGTGAGCCTTAAGCACAACCAAAATACGTGGGAACTGTCTGGGGGACCTGCTGACTTTGCTCAGATATTCATATTTTTCTTAAGGATCTTGAAAACTAGAAATGTCAGGGATGGGAAAGCACTTCCACTGAACCGCGTAGCCGCAGGAAATTAATTTTTCAGCAATTCCCCAAATGCAGAAAGAAGGGGTGGGGAGCACTCCCAAAGGCCTGCTTGGAGGATGGCTGGATGGTCCCCTTCTCTGGTGAGTGGTAATGCTGATTTTTTTATTTAGAGAAGATCCTGACTTCTCCGAGCTTGAAAATTGTTATTCCACTGTCAACCCCCAGTCTTCCTCTGCCAAAGTAATAGATTTTCATTGAGGCAGTTCGTAAAATTAGGAGCTCCGTAGCTCTACCATGTGGATTTTTCATAACATTTTATGATGAACTTCGGTTGTCTTTTACAGCCTTACGAGGATTTTTAAATCGTGTAAATCCAGTAAATGCTAGTACGTAATTTTACACCCTTGTATCGCAGTGGAACGGGCATCACAGTGAACCCTGCGGTAGCTGATGCCGTAACCTGGAGTTTAATAATGTTTCTGTGGAGGGGAAGGTGAGACGCTTACCCGTGATCTGTGCCTCTGGCTGGAGATCCCCGTGCGCAGCGACGGCTCTGTGCCCAGAGCAAAGCCAGAGCACGGGTGTGGAGAGCAACCTCCCCCGCTCTCACTCGTACCTTCCGTGCAAACGGGTCAGATTTAAAATCTGGGCCCTTGCCCCCTGCTTCGGGGTTTATTCCTGCGCCAGCAGAGGTAGTAAGGAATGACTGTGTGGTCATAAGTTGTTAAGGAGAGGAATAGCACGTAAAATAACAAGGGCAGTCACAGAAATAACATTTCTAGCGTGAGGGAGTTTATAAATTATGGGTCCAAACCAAGTCAAGAACAGGTATTTCCCTCATTTCCCCTCCCGCGCAGAAACCCAGAAGTCCTGCTGCTAAGCAATAAGCGAAAAATAGAAATGTCAGGAAACCTTTTTCACCAGGTTTTAAAAACAATTTCACGTAGTCGAGGAATGTTTACAGAGTAGTTCTTGTAATGGGATGAAGCGCACCATGGCGAATGTAGACACCTCATCATATCACCCCATTTTCACGAAACGAAATTTCCTGGAGGCAGTATGTCTCGTAGAAGCAGTGTCATTTATGAATGGATTTTTCGTGTGCTGGGCCTTGCACTCTAGGACTCGGGGCACAAGGGAATACTAAAAAAATCTCCCAAGATTGGAACAAATCTGCCTCTGTGGGATCCTGACCCGCTGGCTGTAGGCAGTAAGCCATCCTTTCACTGCTCAAGGTTTCAAGAAAATATCCCATGGCAACGGGTTGTCTTGTTCTTGCTTAATGCAAAGGCTTCTCTTTCTTCCTTGACAGAGCTGATATTGTTGCCCGATCAAGAATAGAAGCTCGCAGAGTCCTAAATCTTTCCATAAAGTATTAGTCCCGCTAGCAGGCTGCCAGTTTGCATCCAGTGCCCTAACGCTATTACCAAATTGATCCGTGTATTTTTATCCCATAGTCTCCACTTCCAGTGGTTTCCTCTATTCAGTGCCTTGACTGCAGAGAGTCCGCGCGCGGTCACTGCGAGAGAAGGGATCAGTTGAGACTTCAGGGTAAAGACTGCGATAAATTTAGAGTTCGAACAGATAACCAGCCAAGAAACTGTAGCCATGCGGTTGTGGAAAGAGACTTCCAGACTGAATTCTAGAGATAACAAAAGGATCTCTGTCAGCAGGATTAGCAGTAAGGCTGTGGGCTAGACAACAAACAAAATAATACACACCTGAGCCACAGCGGTGGGTACAGTAGAGGATGAATGTTTCTGGAGCTAGCTCTGTACGCCTGCCCTTCACGCGTAGTCACACCTGGTTCTCAAGAATTCCCAGGCTGAGAAAGATTCAAGAGACTTTCTTACGTGAATGTGCGATTGTACAAATCCTGGAAACCAGACAGTTAGACATTCCCCACCCATCTGCAGTAAGATACGACCAAAACGCTTGCCTCAGAATTTATAGGTTCCTTTTATTTTTGATGGAATATCCATTCTCTTTGAATTGATGTTTTTATGCGAAGACTTCCGATCACTATCCCAGCGGAGCGCGGCGATAGCAGGAGGGAGCGGAAGGGCCTGGGTGCGAGCTGCGAGGGGGCGGCCGCCGCGCTCGTGGGGCCGTGGGTGGGAAAAGGAGCCCGTGGCCAGGGGGGTGCGTGGCGAGGCCGAGCCCGAGCCCTCTGGGCAAGCAAACGTCAGTGCCGTTGGCCTGGCGCTGTAGGGAAGGCTTCGAGGGGGGCGTCGAGTACAATTTGTGGGTTGGCCAACTGTCTCTTTTTGAGGGCAAACCCATCGTTATCGACGGGGAAGGTGCCTGTATCCGGGTGTGCTGGGAGGGGAGGTGCAGGGCACTATCCAAAGCCAAGGCGGGACAGGGCAAGCGGAGCCATCCCAGCGTTTCTGCCATGCAGAACAACAGCAGAGCCCTCTTGGGGTGCCCCAAACTTCTGCAGGTGCTTCCTGAAGGCCCCTTTTAAGCTACTGCCTTGGGTAGCCTTGGACAGGGAGAGCGCCGCAGGCTCAGGCCAAGCCTTTTGCTTTGACCGTGACCTTGCAGGAGCTGCAAATGCGGGAAGCTGGAGCTTTTGGCTCGCGGGCCGTACACGAGCAGCGGGCCTCCCCAGGGACGCCGGGCGAGTGAACAGCTTTTGGACAAAATAAGGGTTGACCCTGCCACGGGCTCGCATCCCAGGAGGTAAAACCAGCCGGGCACAATCAACGTGGTCTGGAGGGGGGGAAAGCTTCAAACAGGGGGGGGCATCCTGCAGGACAGGCCTCCTGGGCGCGGTCCTTGGCGCAAGCTGCGCTCAGAGCTGGGCCTCGGCTTCCACCTCAGAAGGAATTTGCCAGTTCACTCGGAGAGGAGCAGGAACGACTGATCCAGCATCCAGCCGCAGCCCCGGGTGCTCGGGAGGTGGGGACCCGCGGCAGATTGGGGAGCTGAGCTCCCCCCGGGCAGCGTCGGGAGCACCCAGCAGGTAAACGCCACGGGCTGTTTAGCTTGGGAAAGCCAAGCCTAACTCTGGCGAGCACCCGAGCCCCCCCCCCCGGGACGTACAGCAGGAGCCAGGCATTTTACAGCAAGCCCACCTTGCAAACGCCGACCGACGGCTGTCAGGGGAGAGCGAGCTCGGATCCATCCCACGGGAAACGCGGGTGGGAGAGCCTGGGCTTCCCCCTCCCCGTCCCGGCCCACCCGCTGGAGCAGGGGTCGAATTGAAAGCCGTCGGTTTTTGCCTCGTTATGGGCCATTGTTTTTCCACCGCGAGTTTCTGTGTTCTCCGCAGATAACACGCCTGGCGCCGCCTCGCCGCGCCTTTGACAGCAGGTGGAATTATTGCTTGCCAGGGGTATCGCAGTCCGCAGCGTAGCTGTAAGGGCTTTGCCGTATGTAGCAAACTTTTAGTCCTGATGGGATATGACAAAATAAGGCAGTGCTGTGCCTCAGGTGTTAAAAATAATAGATAGATCTTGAACTGAGTTGGGGTGCATGCTCTGGGGTCCCAGCCTGGGGCTTGCATATGGAGTTTTTCCACGAAGGAAGAAATCAGACTTCAGCAAAAAAGCATCTTAGTATCTTAGCAGCGTTAAAAGTATATGGAAATAGAAAGTGGAGCCAGACCCAATGCCGTCTGTCATTAAAATGTATTAATCAGAAGAAAAGACAGCCTGCCTTTCTTTTCATTTAAAGAAACAGCTGTGCTGCGAGATACTCTTTACTTTAAATTCTTGATTTGGCTCCCAGTGTTTTATAACTCGTTTCCTTTAAAGCCTGCAGTATGCTGCAGCAGCCCTGTACATTTTTAATACAAAAGAAAGAGCGGAAGAATGAAATTGGGGAGACTTCATTTCTCAGACAAAACCCACACATCTTTATTTTTAGTTATTTAAAATGGAGACTTATTTGCATAATGAAAATTTGACGCTTGATTTCATCTTTAATTGTTACAGGTGGTTAGTGTATGCTACCGAAGGAAGAATGAACTCCATCTGTAACTGCAATGGTGTGAAACAATACAACCGAATATGCTTAGCGCTTACGTGGGGTTATTTTCATCCTCAAAGCGTGGTACAAAATTAATTTTGATAGGATAATAAAAAGAGCACCGCGGAAGATTAATGTTGAAGAGAGTTTTAACACCGGAAATATAATTTGTGTGATGGAAAATATGAGCATCTGGCATTGCACTGTGAACTGTTCCCAGATAATGAAAAAAAAACCCTTCCGAGCAAGCATGGCCAGTTCCCGCAGATTATTTTTGCCTGCCTCTCCAGAGATACCCCTCGGCCTTCTGAAGCAGCCTCATGACAAATGTTCCCTCCTTGCAGTTTTCCATCTGGAGCCTCGGAGGGGTGGCGAGTTAAGGTCACCATGCGGCCGTCTTTCTTCCCGGTGAGCCGGAGGACGAGCACCGAGCCGCCTCCCGAGGTAGCACCCCCTTTTCTGCCGCCCGTCCCGCCTGGCACCATTTGCTTCACGCCGGTTTGACTGGACAGCCCCTCACAGCCCGCTTCCCGTGGAAAAGTCACGACGAGGACATTCAGAACTTCTAACAAATTCCGCTTTCGAAAAGCGGGGAGATAAAAAGCGCCGACAGCACGTAGCCGTACCTCACCCCCGCAGCTTTTGGGAGGCAGAGCGCCCTTTCGGCGTGCTCCACGCCCCCCGGTTCCTCCGCTCGCATCTTTGGTACAAAGGCAGCTTCGCGTTTCTCCGAAGAGCTTCAAAGAGCTTCTGGCTCCGGTTTTGCTCTCTCCAAGAAGCCACTGGGGGCTGCTGGGCTCCGTGGCGTGTCCTGCCTTCGACACCCCGCAGCGCTTCTGCGGGGCCGCGTGGGAGCAACGGAATTCCTGCGGCTTGGACGACAAAGGGCTGGAAAAAAAAAAAAAAAAAAAATATCTCCAAGCGGGGAGTGCGGGCTGAGCTGGAGTAAAAGCTCAAGAGTCCGTGGGGAGCGGAGAGGAGCCGGGAGCATCGTGCTCGGGGCGGGGGGGGACACGAGCCCTGCACGCCCCCCCTGCCCGGCCGTGGGGCAGGTGCCTCACGCCGTCCAGAGGCACCAAAGTGGCGTGGGAGCGACTGGCAGACGAGCAAAACGACGTCGTTATCGGGCTCGGAGGTAATTAGGGTGGGGATTGCACTGCGCACATCGCCTTCGTTCTTTCCCTCTCACTGCGGGTTTTCTACGTGACACCCCCCCCCCCCCCTCTGCCTGGCCCATAAATTGCAGGTTGTTTTTCTGCCGCTGGCCTGTCACTCCGGGGAGCTGCCCCGTGCTCGCCGGCCACGGGAAGTGACATTTTGAAATTCAGGGCCGATCTGTGTGTCGGGCGAAATAGCTGGGAAATAGGGCACACAGGGAGGGAAACGAAAGCGGTGCCTTGCCATCCCCCCGCACCCGTTTGAGCCTGCTCGTGAAATGGCAGCACATCCCCGAGTCCAGAGGTCATGACTAGACAGTCTTCTTGCCTTTTTCCTTGTCCCCTATTTGCTGTCACATGCTAAACAAAGCCAGGAACTAATGCAGAAGCCACCTCGGTCGTGAAGCTTGGCTAATTGCACCCAAAAATGTCCCTGTCTTGGGGCTGAGCGCTGCACCAGCCTCTTCAAAAAATCAGATTAAACTATTACCTTTTTCTGTGAGTCATAACCTAACGTGCTAGAGGATAAAAGAGCAGTCCTGAACCACGCTGTGGGTGCCATCTATTTCTTGCTCCCCTGTTACCTGCACTTGTTCATCTAACAGGGTGTGGAGCGATGCTGGCTGCTCCGAAAACCATGTAGATTTTCATATCGCCTTAAAAAAATCAATCGCTTTCTAAATGTCAGGAACACACAAGTGGTGACACAGAGCTGTTTTAACCTCTACGACCTGGTCGTGCTGGGTCCTCGCACCCACAAATTTACAGGAAATGGTTTGTTTGGGGGAGCCTCCCATTTCCAAAAAGCCATTTAATGTTTCCCAAGTTGATAGAATATCGTGCTTCGACACTACTGAATGTTAAATTTCGACTTTAAATTTGTATTTTATTCCGTTTGGAAAAAATGCAGGATTCTATTGGTGACTTAATTATGGCAAAAAGGAAAGAGGTCGGAATTCAAACCGAAAGTTGAAACGTGCAGGATTTCACTTCAGCAGCCCTGGAAAGTTTCACTTTTCGTTTTCTTATTTGTGGAAATCCTGAGCGCTCCCAGGTCAGGAAGACGATAGGGTGTGCGAGTCGGTGCCAAACCCCAGCACGGAGCTTCCCAAGGCATTGCTGTCAGAGCGAAGGAGCAATTTGGTGTCAATGAGAAGTTGATTGCCGTGGCAGGAGAAAGCCAGCTGCAGTCAGCGGCGTGGAAAAGGTCTTTAATGATGCAAACAACTTTTGGACAAAGTACAAAAGGGTAAATAAGCGGCCAAGTCAGGAAGCACGGCAGGGATGCGTTTGTAGGAGGGCCCTTCGTGGTCTGCTGCAGAAACACTTTGCTGGAGGCTCACGCACACGTAGACAACCTGAGGTCCAGCTCTTTTTCATACCCATTCTAAAAACCAAACCAAACCAAAGATGGGCATAAATGGGCTATTAATACCGGGCTTTGTACTTGCTATTGCTTAGGCGGTGATTTAGCCAGGATGCCACGCTAATTTTAACTTTAGTCGTGGCGAGAAGCCCGGGTGATGTGAGGCGTGCTCCGAGGAGCTGTGGGCTTCAAAGGGAACGTTGAAGTTCGTGGCCAGCTTGGACAGGGAGGGTCTTCAAAGTCATTTAAACCCACAGGTAGGTCCAGGACCTTCACTGCCTCTGGGTAAATGCAAGGGTCTGAAAAAGCAACTTTTGCTATAACAGAGCAAAAGGGGAATCGGGAGGCGGCTGCGCTCCTCGGTTCACTGTACTGTTTGGCCTTATGCCTGGAAGTTTGGTGACTTTAGGCAGCTTGCTTAGCAGTCCTTTCCAAAGTCGATGCACTTCGCAGTAGTTAATTACTATCCAATTATTATCTTCAGCAGTGGATTTCATGTGCAAAATACTATTTCTTGGAACCTGATATTTAAAATCTGGGTGCCTGTCCCGTACCTGCCGCATTTGTTGTGCGTACAGACAAGTGGTGTGCGCTGAAACCACACTCTCAGTTCTGCATTTTTTGTGCACAGAAGTGACTAAATTTGTCCTTTTCCTTCATAAACTGACCCAGGCCACCTGCCCTCTGAACGCTGTGCCTGGGGGGGGGGGGGACACGGGAGAAAACAGCCACGGGAACACGGTGGACCCTCCTCCTGCTTCCAGCAGTCCCGGCGTTGGTTGGCCACGAGAAATCTAGGAAATAATGAAGTTCTTAAAGGAAAAGAAAAGTTGGAGCCATTGGGGTAGAGTATTGCTGGGAAAGGTTTGGGAATATCATCAGAGAAATCGCCTCCACCGCTTTTGGTTCGCACTGCAGAAGGCAGGGCCTTAGGTAGGCTTTGGTAAACAGAAACGTGCCAAGAACTGCTTCGCTCCCTCATCGGTCACTAGAAATATTTTGACTGTAAAAACTGCTAGCTCTTTACAAAATACAACCAAGTCTTGTTTCAAAACGTGAGTGAGGCGGGTGCCCGGGCATCCGGGGCTGCTGCTGGTGAAGGGCAGGGCCAGGCTGGCAGGCGCCCACGCTCCCCAAGAGAAGGGTGGACAATCCTCCTCCTTCCCTATTTGTCTTCCTCTAACGCCGTGTGAGGAGCACAGATTTAAAACAAACAGAAAACAAGCAAAGAAATTGTGAAACAGTAAAATGATTAAAAATAGCTAGATTCCTGCAGAAGGGCTGCACGTGCCAGGCCCTTCTGCCGGCGGGGCCCGAGGTGCTCGGCAGTTACTCGGGGTTTCGTCAGCAGATGTTGGTACAAAAGCTCAGCGAGGCTCCGCACCAGGAACAGCCCCGTGGTGGCTCCGGGCTGCTCCAGGGTGACTTTGTCCAGGCCAAGACACTGGGGCCAAGGGGGGGCAGCCCAGCCCCTGGCACCCGGGCGTTTGCTTTCCTCCCAGGGGGGCGAGACGGAGGATTTGGGGGGTTTCAGCGGTCTCCCCTGCCCGTCACTGAGCCAGGAGGAAAATCCTCGCGATGTCTAGCGCTGGCTGGTGTGTGACCACAGGCACGGCTTCATGCTGGGACAGCCTGCGGTGACACAGCTGCCAACTTGTTCTTTTTTTTTTTTAAAAAAAAAAAAAAAGTGAATTTGCAAATTGGGACCGAAGGGCTGAATGCAACAACAGCTGCCGTACCCTGAAGGGACCCCGCCACAAAGCTTCGGAAAATGTGAGCGTCACTGATCAACTCCAGCAGCGTCCTCAGCTCACGGTGCCTCGTCCCGTGTGGTTTGTCCTGGCCGGTGCCGTGGGCGGACGGGCTTTGGCTGCCCCTCGCCACCCCTGCGTGCCCCGGGCGAGGAAGTCAGCGAGGCTGGAGAGCACCGCAGCTCGCTTCGGCCCCGGTCAGCCTCTGCTGGGAGTTGGGAAGGGCTGAACCCTCCCGTCCCCCCCCAGTTTGAGCCGCAGTTCCCTTCCCCCAGCCCCAGGGCCGGCAGACGATGCGTGATGGAGAGGCGGGGGGGGGGGGGGGGTTGAGGTTCCACCAGCCTCTCCGCTGCTGACGCTGAAAAGTTCTTGCAGTTGCGTTGCTTGCTGCAGCGATGGCTACGGGTAAATATTTGCTATGTGGGCATCTCCGGTGTCGGCAAAGCAAATCCCGAGCGGTTAAATGGCCGCGGCAGGTCAGTTGGTCACGGGTGTACCTGTGGTGAGACAAGAGGAGCAGCGAGGCGGAGGACTGCAGGTGGCCTGGGCCGAGAATTGTTTATTTTTTTTTTTTTTTCCCTTTTTTTTTTTTTTTTCTTCCAGCGTGGGGACAGCCAGCGGGGCTGCAGAGGATTAATGCGAGCAGGTCACCTCTCCACCCTTCGCCGCGCAGACGGGAGTTATTTCCGCCTCCTCCTCTCCCCGCCGCGAGTCACCCGCGTTCAGCCTCCCGTGAGCCGTCGTCTTTCCCCGCAGGTTTCTCAGCCCCGGCGTGGGCACGCTCACACACACGCAGCTCTCTGTAGGGTGAGCTATAGGGTCTTGGCGTGGGGAGAGGAGAAAGGGGGGGGGGGGGACATGGAGCACAGAGTCCCTGCGGACCCCCCGCCTGCCCGGTGGGACGAGGCCGGAGTTACAAAATGCTCAGGGACTTGTCAAAATTCAGTTGGCATTTCAACGTGTCATTGGGGGGGGGGGGGGGGGAGGGATGTGCCTCCCCGTGCCGCGTGGCGGGGGGTGCCGGTGCTGTTTGGGGTTTGGGGGGGGTGGGGGGTGCAAGGGGGCTTTTGTAGCTGCGTCTTCTCGCCCGTCTGTGCTCCAGCGATCGTCACGTAGAGCTGCCGTCCCTCTCAGCCCGCCCCGCAGACGCTGAGGAGCAGCCGCGGGTCGTTTCTCCAGGGGCACAGGCTCCCAGATCTGCCCTCGGCCTCGCCGGGACCCTCCTCAAGCCCCGAACCGCAGCGCAATTTGGATCAGGCTTCCCCTGGGCATATTTCTGAGCGCTCCATTTCGGTGCAAAGAGCGGGATGTCACGCCGGAAGAAATAATGTGAAGCCAGGTTTCTGATGTTTGTTTTTTTTTTTTTTTTTTTTTTTCATGTAAAGCTAATTGCTCGTTCAGGGCCGTGCATCCAGCTGCCACGCGAGCATCCGCTGTTTTTCTCAGCATCCCTTTGCTTTACAAAGATAAGATTTTTTGAAACGAAGCTCACGCATCTGCAGTTTAATTAGGGGGTGGGTGGCTGGAAGCAGGTTATGCGCGGTGACATCTTCATTTACATACAACCAGAAAAGATGGCACATGAGTGCCATGGGACTTCTAAGTGTGCTGAAGGCCATTCCCCTCCTCATCACTTATAGCAGTTCAGGCCACTGATTTTTTTTTTTTTTTGGCTAAGTTTAGGTGGTTTTCAAGCGTTTGGACTCTTCTACAACAGCCATACTAGAGGCTGGTCGCCTTAGTTCCTTAATTTAGAGGTTGTTTGGGTTTGTCTTCATGAGGCACAGATGGTTTGACCGAGATGTCTTTGTGGCCACCTCTCCAAGCACCAGGCGCCACATCGCCTTCTTTTATCTGCAGCGGGCGGTATCTGCAGATCAGAAGTGCTCAGACACTGTGGTGACAGGCACAGGATCAAAACCGAGGGTGATAAACATCGACAGAGGAAGGGTGGAATAATTTGGGGTGGTCCACGATGGGAGCAAGGGGATGACATTTAGCAAAGGAAAGTTTCAGTGCAGCAGAGAGGAAAATGTCCTCATGTGGAGTTGTGGTAGTCACGGAAGGTCTCTGCGGGGAGTGGTGGAGCCCCTGTGCTTGAGTGGTTCAAAATGGGCAGGAAAAAAAAAAAACAGAACAAAAAAAAACAAAAAACAAAAAAACAAAAAACAAAAAAAACGATGGAAAATGTACTGTGGGAACAGCCCTGCGCTGGCAGGAGCTGATAAACCGTATGACCTAAATGGTGTTTTCCGTCTCCCAATTTATGTGACACGGAAAGTGATTTATTTTGGCCTGCTCCCACTTTACTACAATGACTAACGCCCAGCTGGCAGGGACCTGCTTTGCCCCCTGGGTAAAGAGTCCTTGAAGAAATCTGGTGGTCGCAGAGGCGCTGAGAGAGGAGCCCTAAGAGCCCCTGCAGGGTTTGCCTTGGCTGACGGGGCAGCTCCGAGGGGCGTGCTCTTTGTCCTGCCCAAACGTCCTGTCAGTGTACAGGTCCCTCAGAAATGAAACCACCGAGAGCACTGCCCTCTCTTGACTTAGGAGATCTCGTTTTTCCCCGTGCCCAGGTCAGCTGAGCAGCACTTGGTTGGCAGCAGAAAATGAAGGTGAAACCTACCCCCCCTGCCGCCCAGTGCTGTATTTTCTAAATTCCTACTACTCTGCTAAAAATCACACGCGGTGCTGAGGGTGGGCATTCGGGGAACAATACCCAAAGCGGGGGACGGGGCAGGGGAGTCTCTTCTCCAGCAGAAGCAGCAGCTCAAGGAACCCGAAGCTGCCCCTGCTTGCTGAACACCAGCGCTCAGGAGTCACCGGCTTCTGTGGAAATCCGCTTCAGCGCCCGTTCATCCAGCCGTTTCCTGTCGGTGGGAAGCGTGGCGCTAGCTGCAATATTTGTTTTCAGTTGCCAGGACCGAGCGGTCATTTAAATCATCGTAAAGTTCTGAACAAAGAACCACATGTGCGTTTTGGGAGAAGTACCCAAAAAAAGGCTCATCAGCAACAGCTGAGAAGCGTCCAGAAAGAGGCCAGAGGTGGGGAATGATTTATGGGTGCTGTGGGTGTAACCAAGTAGCAATATTGCCTCAGTGTTGGCTGTTGCCAACTTTATTATACTTGCCCATGTCTTTTTTGGTTTTTGCTTTTGTAGATTCCTGCTAAAAATAACAATAGCACCTCCTTTGAGGGGAAGGGAAGCAGTTACTGGAGCTAGAATGAGGTGGTAATTCGTCTGCTAAAGCTGTACGCGGGAAGCGTTTGGGTTTTAATTCCTGTGCTATAAAACAAAAGGATAAAAAGTGGCTTCTGAAGACGGGGCTTTTTCTGTGTATTATACCGCCTTAGCTGCAGGAATGGAGACGGGGGAATCCACGGAGGGGTCGGGTCGCACGGCAGATCTGCACAACACCCCCTCACCACGATCACGGCACAGTTCGCGTTTCCCGCACTACGCGCTGAATCTTCAGCAGTGACCGAGCAGCCGGCCCTGTCATCGCCGGGGCTTGGGACTAACTGGTCTCCAACGTCCCTTCCAACCCCAACCGCTGGGCGATTGTGCGACGCCGTGGGCAGGGCAGGGGGCTGTCACCCCAGGAATCCCCTACACAGCTTCTGACAAGCTCCGCTGTCTGGGGGAGGATTGCAAAGGGCGGCTGCGGATCTCGCTGCCCCCGACGGGGCGCGCTGCCCCACGTCGTGCCGCCAAACGCCGCTGCCAGGTCAGTGCCCGCGGGTGGTGAGGACGTGCACGGGGCGGAGGGGAAGGGGGTTGGGTCCTGCCTTTGTGCCCTCAGCTCGGCCATCCCTGCCGTTGGCTTCGCTGTTGCTAGGGGAAACCCGCGGGTAGTTGTTATAAAACAAAAAAACCAGCCCCGAGCCATATGGTGTCAATTAATGTCACCAGACATAGTCCCACAAATAAGAACCGTATGTTAGAGATAACATCTTTGTTTGTTGCTCGCGGTTTCCTTGATGGCAAACTACTGTGCTATAATCCTTCAGCGTCCGACTCGTTGAGGATGAAAACACGAAATACCAAGAGTGTTTGCTGGGGGCTCTGAGCCCCCGGCGAGGCACCCGTGGGGAAGCCAGGGGAGGCAGGAGGATGCTCTTCGCCCAGACAACGTGTATTTTATTCTCTTGCAGGGGACACCTGTGAGAAATCTAGTCCTCTCCCCTCCAGTTTCTTCACCTTTAGGTACCTATCATCGGCCTTACGTGTGCTGTCGGGCCGGGTGTCTTCTCAGAGCAGGGGGGGAAATTTTGAAATCTTGCCAATTCTAAGATGCTTAAGGTTGTTTTTTTTCAGTTTTGGGTTTATTTTTTTTTTTTGTTAGGTTGGTTCTTTTGGTTGTTTCCTGTTTTTTTGTTTGTTTGTTTTTTTTTTTTTTGTTTCGTTTCCAGAGGTATTGTGGCATATAAAAGGCTTTGAACAAACCTTTGGCTTCTCAGCCTCTAAATCACTTTAAAATGGGACCTAAGAGTGGCTGCAAAAGGCATTTGGGTACCTAACTCCCAGTGAAATCCATCCCGACCTCAGAGGCCTCAGTCACGTCGGTATTTTAGGAAGCTGCACCACTTCACTGATGTATTTCAATCTGTGCAAAGCCTTTAAGTAGATTCGCCTGGTTCAAGATCATTTTGCTATTGATTTCCTCTCTTGATTCCTTATCAGCCCCGGGCATGTTGCCCAGGACCTGCACCACCTCACCCGGATCTACTCCCTGGCTTGGCAAACCGCCCCCCCGGCTCCGCTCACGCCGCCGTTTGCTGCAGCACAGAAACCCTTTAACCACGGGATTTGCGACACCACAAAACGATGGTTTTTCACTTGGCTGTCGCTGCTCTCGGAAGGAACCGGCGGCATCAGTCTCCCAATTCCACCTCGGTCAGTCCCTTACGACATTCACCCAGCGGCTGTGCAGCACTTGGTGGGTAAATACGATTTCTCCGCTCGACGCTCGCTCGCGGCACTCGGGCACCATTTCACGCTGCTGTTTGAGGAAGGATGAAGCAGGTTGGCACCGACCCGCTGCTCCCACACCCTCACCTCCCCCTGGGCACTTGGGTTATTCGACGCCCTCCAAGCCTGAGGTCAAAAGGCTCAAATTGCAGTTGTATATATATATATATATTTTTTTTTTCTCCCAAATTAAAAAAAAAAGGGAGGCTTAAAGCCCGGCAGAGCTGAAGTGGCACAGTGCAGAGCAGGCAGAGCCCTCACAGGTCGCACGCAGTTAAAATGGGTGTGAATTTTACCTTCCACTCACCTGACAAGTTCACACCATTTGCCTTGCGCGCCAGCTCCCCCCCTCCTGCAGATGCGTTTCGCTTTCACAACTACTCTGCAAAGTCCGTATGTACAGTGATTTTTTTTGTTTTGTTTTTTTTTACCATCGAGGCAAAGGGACCCGCTCCTGCAGATGCGTTTTGCTTTCACAACTACTCCACAAAGTCCATATGTACAGTGATTTTTTTGTTTTTTTTTACCAACGAGGCAAAGGGACCCGCTCCTGCAGATGTGTTTCGCTTTCACAACTACTCCACAAAGTCCACACATACAGTGATTTTTTTGTTTTTTTTTTTTGTTTTTTTTTTTTTTAAATCGAGGCAAAGGGACGCGCTCCGCTGTCGCCACGCTCCACTGCCATCAGCTCGTGCCCTTGGTCCCTCCCCCCATGCCCCCAGACCCCCCCCCAGTCTCACCCAGGGTGTCTGGGAGGGGGACAAATTTTGACTTGGGGTGCGCAAGAATTGTGTCCACAATCCCTTAAGCTGTGGAAAAACTGGAGCCCCGTGGGCAGCCGCCCCACGGCCGGGCCCGGGCGAGCTGAGTGCAGCCCTGGGCTGGGTCTTGGCTTCAACAGGCCGTGTTTGCCTTCGTTATTTAGCACCAAGGCACTAACGAGGTTCCCCCCCAGCCTCCCGTTGCCTCGCTCGCTCTGTGTTGGGATGATAATTAATTGTGAGCGCCCCGACCCCGGCAGCCTGGGGGAGCCTGCGATGGCGGTTCGGGGGGTGCCCGAACGCGGCAGCGGCGTTGGCCGCCGCTGGGTCAACTGGAAACTTGCTGGAAACCGGCTCAGGGTGAAACAAGGAGCGCGGCGAGCGCAGCTCCCCCCCCGTCCTCCTCCACGCTCCTTCAGCAGCCCTGCGGTGGCTGGGGTGGGGGGGGAACGGGAGCCGGGCGACTCGCCTTGGTCCTCTCCTTGCCAGAAATAGAAAAATTGGGAACCCAAGGTTGCCGTTGCATAATGCAAATATAAATTCAATCCTGGTCTCCTTTAGCGCCGCAGAATTCCCTCCCTCGGGAAGGAAGGGTCCCCGAGCGAGGCCGCGGCTCAGGTTTGTGGCGTCCCTGGCAGCGGTTTGGGGGGGAGCAGCATGCACCCCGCTGCGCTTTCAGCTACCTGGTTTGTTAAGCGAAGGGCTGGAGGCGATTAAAACTGTTCGGGCAGGGCAGGGGGTTCGTCCTCCCGGCCCTAAATCTCTTCTTATCGCACCGAAATCCCAGCGCGTGCCCTCGGGAAAGCAGCTTTTGAAACGCCCCTGCGTGACCATGCGCTCGCTCTGCACGCCAGGAAAAGGATTCAGCGCTGGGTAAACTCTCAGTTTCATCGCCAGAATAAATCCTTAAAGCCTGGAGACAGCACGGTCCTACTGGGGGTTAGCAGCCGGAATCAGCATCTGGGTGCCACCACCAGGCGAGCAGTGAAGCTCCTCTGGTCCCCTCGGGGAGCCCATGGCCTCGCTGTGACCTTTGGGAGGGGATATTTGTATTTTTTGGCAAACTGATGAGTTACCTGCTGGCGGTTCTGAAACTCTCTTGTACGGGGAGGCCCGCAGGGCTCTGGGGAGCCGGGTGACAGCGCCGGGGGTGGTCGGGATGGCGGGACGCGGGGTTTCAATTAGCTGAAAAAAAATAATTAGAGAGATTAGGGGAACGGGTGCGTACCGCCGCTTTGGAGCAAACCAACCGTTGAACACAGAGCAGGGCCCGGAGGTTCCGCGATGCCTTCGAGGGTTTTTCTGTCTCTCCTCTCCTGCAAACCCGGGACAGCTTTCCAGCATCTCAGAGCAACCTAAATCCGCCGCCTCCTGCTTCGAGCCCCCCCAATTCCACATTCCTGAGTGCGGTGCCCACCCGCACGGTTCAGGGGCCGGTCACGAGCTTCGCGTGGAGTTTTCCTCCTGCACAGCAGCCGGCACGAGCTCGGGCCGCGGCGCCTAAACCCCATTTTCACTTACTGACTCTCCACGGCCCTTCAGGGGTAGTGCCTGCTGATCCGCTGAGGCTGTTCTGGATGCTTTTACACGGAATTTTTTTTTTTTTTTTTTTTTTTTAAATCCTGGTTGCTATTGGGGTATGTCACACGTTGATTCCGCCGAGGCTGTCTGCTTTGCTGCTGGTCCCTCTCGGTGCGTGGGGCGGCACAAGCCCAGCTCCAGCAGAGCCTGTGTGTGCGTGTGCAGGCGTGTGTGTGTGCATGCATGCATGCGTATGCATGTGTGTGTAGGAATGTGCATGTGCATGCATGTGTGTGTGCAGGAATGTGCATGTGTGTGTGCGGGTGTGTGTAGGCATGTGCATGCATGTGTGTGCAGGAATGTGCATGTGCATGCATGTGTGTGCAGGAATGTGCATGTGCATGCATGTGTGTGCAGGCATGTGCGTGTGTGTGTGTGCAGTGTGTGCATGTGTATGCATAAATGTGTGCGCAGGCATGTGCATGTGTGTGCAGGCATGCGTGTGTGTGTACAGGTATATGCATGTGCAGGCATGTGTGTGCTTGTGTGCAGGTGTGTGCATGTGCATTCACGTGCAGGTGTGTTCATGTGCATGCACATGTGTGTGTGTGTGTGCAGGCGTGCATGCACGCCGGGGGGGGGAGGCTCGTGTCGGCTTTGCAACACTTCCACCTACAGAATAAACCCCAGAACGGCAGCGGGAGCCGCCAGCAGCGGCCCTGGGAGCCGGGGGGGGGGTGTGTGTGCAGCATCCTGGGGGTGACCCACCCCAGTTGGGGGGGGGGGGGGGGCTGCTTTGGGGAACTCGGGGGGGGCTGAGCCCCTTGTCCTGTCCAGCAAACCTGTGAGGAGGGGATTCTCTATGCTGGGACAAAAAAATGATAATTTTTTTTTTTTTTATTTTCCTTCCACTGGAATATAAAGGCTTTTTTTTTTTTTTTTTTTTCAGGCCAGCTTTACTAATTTTAACTTTTCTTTTTGTTTTGCCCTTTTTTTTTTTTTTCTTTTTTCCTTTTCAAAATGCCCCGCTGGGCTGTGGCCAGGCAGGAGATGGGAATGGAAAGCTGCTTCCTTTACAAAAGTGTTTTTTCCTAAGCGGAGCGGGGAGCGGCCGTGGCGGGTCCGTCTCCTGCCCCCAAAGAACTTTCAAGCAACGAGGTTGTGCTTGGGCGAAGGGAGAGCAACGAGGAGCACGGGCGGGAGAGCCGGGGACCTGGGGGCTTGCAGATGGGGAATGATGGATTCCATGCACAGTTCCTGGCAGGAGCAGTGAGAGATTTCCTGGAAAAGGGCTCTTCCCTGCTGTCAGGCACGCTCTGCTGCACCCGCTGCCGCTGACCTGCGGGCTTTGGGGGGTGGCTAAAGCCCTGGTGCACTACTTGGGCCAATTGCCCTCAAGAATATTCTTAGATTGTTCACTTTTTTTTTTTTTGTCCTTCCCAAGCAACCCAAAGCTTTTGGTCCAGCTACATCCTTCCAACGCCCGTAACAACGCTGAAAGCAAAGGACAGTCGCAGGTTTGAACGTACTCGCTTGATTTTGTTGAAAAATGAAACATTTTTAAAAATCCTTTTTTTCTGAAGCGAAAGCAGTTCTGAGGGCGAGAGCGACCCATCCAAACCCGGGTGCCCGAAAAGAACCGCTGGGCTGGAACATCTCCCACCCGGCAGCACCCTCCTCCCACCCCCAGAGTCTCTAACAGCGGCTGCAGCACCGGGTGATGCTGAAATGCTCCGTTTTTCCCAGGAAATTGTCCTCCTCGCAGCAAGATGTGGAGCTCCTGTCCCTGCTTCACCCCCCCAGCTGCCACTTGGCTGGGACGGTGATCCGCTCCGTCGGCACAAGGCCAATATTTGCCTGTGGCCACCTGCGCTGGACGGCGCAGCCCGAGCAGCCTTCCCCAGACACAGCCACCCCTGAAAACACCGGAGGGAAAAAAAAAAAAAAAAGAAAAAAAAAAGGAGAAAGGACCAAAATACCTTTCACTGCGCTTCACTTTTCTTAGAGCAAGCTGGCTGGGCACGGAGGCGAGCTGCTGCAGGTGCTGTCAGGGCGGTTGGTGCTTGTGCAGACACAGCCCCGAGGCCGAGCCCCCCTGCGCGGTTCACTCCGACACACGAACAGCCGAGCTTGAGCCCGCCGAGGTGCTGCTTCAAAGCCCGGCTTGTGTCACTACGCTACCTTGAATAAAAAAAAAAAAAAAAAAAAAAAAGCTACTTTAATTTCCATGGCAACAAATAATTTCTCCTGAAAGCAACAGGAGATACTGCACATCAAAAACATGCACAGAGGTAACCAAGAAACAGAGGATGATATTTATCTTTTCCCTCTTTTCAAGTATCTTCGCTTACTGTGTTTCTAGAGAAGAGCTGCAGGCCTGGCCTGGCAGGATGCTGGCTAGCTGCTGACGAGAAAGTCCCAGTTCCAGGGCAGTTTTTGCTCAACCACAATCTTTTTTCTTTCCTTTTTGAGTTCTGCAGAACCAGCTGCTGCTGTTACCCAGGGTGCTAGGCCTGCCCTGGGCGCCCGCTGAACTCCCTTAACAGAAGAGCACTTTTGGGGAAAGAAAAGGTCTTTTAGTGCTGCTTTAGAAGCCTTCCCGAGGCTTAAGGTTTTGTTACCACCTGAAAGAATCAAATCCAACTCCCTGCTCCTCTGCCGGGGCAGGCTACAGGTTACAAACACCCCCAGCCCTCGAGGTGCTGCGTCTGTCCCGCTCGGCCCTTTGCCAGCGGAGGCCAGTGACCCATCAGCTCCCCCAGGAGAGACCCCCGGGGGGTGCTGGGCCATACTGGGACACACTGGGCCCCGCGGGGGGCCACCCACAGCCACCTCTCCTCCCCCCAAAGCCCAGACCGACTGCCCAAGCGTTCCAAGCCTTTCTCCTGCAGGAGCTGCAACATCACTATCCCAAATGCCCCATTCCCGTGCACTGGCCAAAGGGAGGCAATTAAGGAAATTTATAGTTTCAATATATTAGACATCCAAGAGGCAGTAAAAAAAAAAAAAAAAAAAAGCTTCGTATTTTATTTCTTGTAAAAATCTTTCAACACATGCAGACTAAAACCAGTGTAAGAAAGTATCCACCATCGTTTAAACAAATAACTATACTTAAATATAAGTGTCTGCAATTGACTTGTATAAAAATAAGGTACATTTTGCCTTTTTACAGAAATCCATTCTCCAGTTCTCAGATCGATGAACAATACACAACTAATACATACAATTGAACCTGATCCTTGTTTTCCACCCAGGTGATACTGCTAAGGTATTATGTGCAAAAGTTGGTAACAGTTTCTTTCCCAAAAGAAAAAAAAAAAAAAAAAAAAAAAAAAAAAAAAAAAAGAAAGAAGAGTCTTCTACACGTTTTAGAAAATGAGATATTGGGTTTAAATTAATCAAATGCTAAATCCTTTCCTGCGTTCGCAGAGGCAGAGTCCCTCGCTGCGGTATGTACAGGCGGCGCGGGGCTCAGCGGCGGTGCCGGCCGTGCCCCGAGCGGCCGCCGCCGTGGTGTTTGCCTTTGTGGGGTCTCTCGAAGGAGCGGGATCTCTCCCTCCTGTCCCTGTGGTGTCCCCGCTCGTGCCTGTGCTTCTTGGCGGCGTCCGAATGATCCCTGGATTTGCTCTGGGACCGGGATCGGGATTTTTTCCTTTTGTGCCCGTGTCTGTTGGCGCTCTTCAGCTCTTCCCGGCCGTGTTTGGCTTTCAGGTGCGGCGAGCCGTGGTTGTGGTGCCGGCGCGGGCTGCCGCTGTGGCTGCGGGACCGGCTCCTCGACCTCGAGCTGTACGTCCCCGACAGGCTCCGCCTGTTGTTGTAGCTTGTGGAGAAGCATTAAGAGTTAACACGCACCTTCCACGCGGCAGAAAGTAACGACAAAAACGAAGCAATGCTTAGCAATTTCCACGTTACTGGAAGAAATATCAGAGAGTGTTTCTCCCGAGGGGTAACTGATGACTGACAGCCACCGTCCCAGAACGCGCCTCTGAGTCGAGTTCCTCTGAAAACAAAAAGCCCCAACCCAGAACGCAGCGCCTTCCATCACTGTTCAGCCCTACTGCTACTAATTAGAGGCAAAAAGCCCTGCTGAAATATCCGCAAGGGCTAATTATGATAAAAAAGATGAACACCCGTGTCTCCCCGCCCCCCCCCAAACAGAAACCCACTACTCACTGCCGCCTGGGAGTGTGAGACCGAGACCGGGACTTTGTTCTTGACCTCGATCGACTGGCACTTCTGCTGCTTCTGCTTCTCTTGCTTTCTTTTCTCATGCTTGGAGGGGGAAATAAAAAATAGGGTTACGCTTCTGAGGTGCTTGCTGCTTGCACAAAGTAGCTCTGTAGTAGGTCACGGTACTTCAGTTGAAGGAATTGTTTTTATACAAGTCTTCTCTTCAGCAGGAAGATTTTTACCTACCCATTGTAAGGGCTCTTTGAAGCTTGCTGCCTCTCTTCTGGCTCTTTTTTAATAGTTTTGGTATTCAGAGATACTGGAGTCTTCTCTTCAGTCTTTACTTCTCTTGGGGAAGCTAAGAGTTAAATTGAAATTCAAAATTAGGTATTTTATTCATAGACTTTGTAATAAACCCACTGAATCCTTTACACACACCTTTACCAGTATTTGCCCAAAATGTAAATAGGAACTCGACAGCTTCTGTTTCATTCCATCTTCCCATTTACAGTCCACTCCGAGGTGAGATCCCTGGAGTGAGACGCCCATGGGGAGACGCATCGTAGTTTGAAGCCAAACGCCTGCGCACGGGGCGAGGAACGCCGTGACCTTCAAGCCAAGCAGCCAGGCTCACCTGAGATTTCGTGCCCAAGTGGTACAAACTAAAAGCTGTCCTTACAGCCCACAAATACATAAATTGTTACCCTGACGGTTCATTTCCAATACTATAGAAAGAATTAAGACTGAACAGCAAAATTACAGGTTTCAGTTTTATATTAGCAGAACATATATAATGAATAACCAAAAACTTCTTTAGTTTAGAAGCCCATCTGTCCCTGCAGTCAGCTGCTGCGGGCTGGACAGGGATTCCCCTTTTTGCAGCAGGGCCACTATGCCAAAGGGACACATCTGTCCCTGGTGGGAGCAAGGCAGAGGTGCTGCATTACGACCACACCCCCCTCACTCAACAGGGTTCAGAGGCTTAATGTAAAAATACAGCAAGGCACAATTCTGTCAGCAGCTTTCCCTCGGTTTGTCAGCTAGGAAGAAATCCTCCAAAATGCCACCAGAGGCACTGCTTTCACTCAAACTCTTCCAAGCCCAGGCTCCCACTTCACAGAAATAAGAAAAAGCTGTCATCATTTAGCGAGGAAATTCACACTTGTCAGCTCAAAGACCTCTGGAAACTCAGCTGTACTGTTCTTAAGGAGAAGGAACTGCTACAAATATCGCTTTCGCAGGGTAGAGAAACTCTAAGAGGCCACGTAACAAACAGGGGCCTGAGCCTTCTACTTCACCCACCATCACTGGACCGATGCTCACAATGGCCTTTAATTGCGTTGGCAGTTTACAGATCAATAGCAGCAGTAAGAGGTAGAAGCACCACGACAAAAATAACTGTTTTTTTCCTATCATTAGAGTTCAGACTGATTTCTTGGCCGGTTCAAGATAGACATTGCAACAATTTATTCACTAATGCCAAGAGCACTGTGACCTTCCCTCCTTCATTTCCTGACCACAAGCTGTCTTCCTTCACCACACTTGAACAGTTGACAAGTACATTAAAAAAAGAAAGAGCAGAGAAGGCAATTTTCAGAGATACCTGCTACAAAAGGGACCATGAAGGCTACTGCAACACCCCCCAACAAATTAAATCCAGAGAGTCTCTCTTCACAACACAGCCATGTACAGCCAATGCCTGGGACTAGACATTTTCATAACAATTATCTGAAGGGGGCATTTATCACTCTCCCATCTGTGGAAATACAGAGTAAAGCATCTCTCTTCCCTTTAATCTGCCATTTCAAGGTACTGAAACTGTTTTTTAAATTTGTGTTTTAAATAGATTTCCCTTGCTTCCTAGTTCTGTGAAAAAGCCTGAATTGTCTAGCAGCTCAACGAGCAAACCTACTTCTTAACACCTTGGGACACAGATTTAGAAGACTTATCAAATAGTATTATGCAAGTTTCTGTTCAGAAAACAAACTTACATGGTTTGGATGCAGGAGAAAAGCCACCCAGTGTTGAGAGTGCTGGAGTTCCATCTGGATTTAAGCCTTTGGCCTTCAGTTTAGCTTCCTGTAGTGCCATTTTCCTCTTTTCTACTTCTTTATCCAGGAATTCATAATTGGGCTGTTAAAATAACAACGTGGTAAGAAGCTGAACCAGCGCAATTCATAATTTCTGAAAAATACTCAAATTATCTTTTAATCATCTGTCCATAACGTGACTGGCTTCCAGAGTTTGTTCCCTCACTCCCCTCAGAGGAGCAGCCACCCAGCAGAGCCTCTCCAATTAGCAGACTTGTAGGCAGGTGTTCCCAAACACGCTCAGACAACCGTGAGACAGCTCAAGCTGCACTGAACACTGAACAGGAAGAACAAACATCTCAAGGTTACCTTCTTTCTGGTATAAAGCTTAAGAGTTGTCAAGCATATCTCCTGAATCTCCTCTTCCGTGGTGCCAAAGAGCAAGAACCAATGAGGACGGGTAGGTAGTGGAATCTGAAAACAAAACAACCAAAAGCTTAATTACGCAGATTACAGACCAGGCTTTTGAATATTGTCATTAATTTTCTTGAAACCAGTTTACCAGCAATGAAAGGCAATGCTAACTAAAGACAGACAAATACTCACCTGCAGAGCTCTAGCAGCGAGATAAATGCAAGCACATGCTATAGTCTCTGGCTGAAAGCGAACAAACACGTTTGTTCGAAGGCTGTCATTCATGTAATTCCTAAAAAAAAATTGATGAAACGTTGGAGCTCCCGTTTACATCTTTTTACCTAGAGGATAACAATACTGGAGACTCAATTGACTTTATTATTTTTTCTGTTATTATATTAAACACTTGGTTTCTTTTGAATTACTGTATTTGATGTTTACACTTGTTACTTCTGTAACAAAGTTTGCACCACTGCCAGTGTTTTGAAACCCCAATGCAAGTAATAGTATGTCATATGGTTACTTCCTAGGTAGGTACATTAAGTTTATACTGTGAAGTGTCCATTGAGTTAATCTAACAAGTACTTTTCATCTGTCCAGCTGTTTGCTTTTAAACACCAATGTTCTTGTATTTAGAAAAAAAAAAAATCAATATGCTTAAAACTCAAATGCAAGCATGAAAGCATGGTATATTTTTAACCTACCATTTTCCAGAGGCTAGATGCAACCTATAAAGTTCATAAAACATTGCATTTAAGTCCTACGTGTGCCTTGAGTCACATTAACTTCATCCAGAGAGAAAACCATCCGATTTGCTCAGTCTTGGAAAAAGACCTGCAAGTTACTAACGGGTCTCCCACTTCACTAAGCTACTGCTCCTCCACCACGGTGGCACTGCCAAGCAACACATGCCAAGAGACACATTTAATCAGCAGAGACCTCCATCGATTTCTAAGTTACTGAGCTACAGGAAAGAAACGAACAGCAGTCAGTAAGTATTGACTCTACAGAAAACCATGCCCGATATGGCTTCTAAGTGAACATGCTGCATGCACTGTAATTGTCTTTTTTTTTTTTTTTTTTTTAAAACTCAAGTTTAGCCAAATGCTAAATCAACTAAATAAATGTTGGCAGAAAGTCTACCCCATGTGTCCTTTAAATACACTACAGTATACAGTAGCTAGGCAACAAATACATTTAGAAACATTTTTAACAGTTACTTCTAAAAGCAAATATACAAATCCTTTTGACACCCAGACAGAACTAGAAGATGCTGCCCGATGGATATGGACCACTTCAGTGAATCTCGGATGAGAGCTTGCACTGGGTTGGCTGGAGAGAAGGGCAGCCAAACAGGCCATCCCCAGGTCATGGGCTGAGGTGCAGAGGGCAGAGCTCTATGACTTACCATCATGGACTACCCTTTAATTAAAGAGTAGAAAAAAGAACAAAGTTAAATTGAGTTCTCCATTACTATACTGGAATCAAGCCATGAAAATAGTAAGCAGAAACAAGCACTAAAATATTTTAGAAGTATATGTTTGTGTAATAACTTACATCTCATTGCTTTGCATATGGATCATCAGGCTTGTTATTTCTGCTACTATTTTCCTGGCTAGGATAAGAATGGAAAATAACAACTTACCAGGCTGTCTGTACCAGGGTTTGATTACGTTCACATTCTAAGACTTGTAAATACATAACAATGATCTGAGGAATAAGGAGAGGGAAAAAAAAAAAAAAAGAGACGACTCAGTTTCAACATACAAAGCAAAGGAAGGAAGTAACTATGTACAGCCACTCCAAAACAATGGGCTCTCCTTTTCTAAGCACACACAGTAAACGCGCGTGTCAGCCAATCATGTTCACACAATTCTTTGTTTTACTACTATTCTAAGATTTTCAAAACCAGTCACCTTTAACATTTCCCAAGGAAGCAATTTCTGCAAAAGTCAACAGGACTATTTGCCCACGCACTCTGGTAAAAACATTCACGCTAACTGCTAAGGAATAAAGAAAAGAGATCAGGTCATTTTTACACCTGCATTTCTCGTTCCACAGCCCTCAATGATGACATCAAGGTAAATTAAAATTTACAATGACATTATTTTTGATAACTCACCTTATGTGGATGCTTGACATGAACACAAAATCCCAACTCCTTCAGTACCCTCCTTTCTGCTTTGATTACTTGATTTTTGGTGTTTATGTAGTTCTGATCAAGTATCAGGGGGCTTGGAGTCCTATAGTTTGCAAGAAATAAAATCAAAACTGTTTTGCATATCCAAAACCAGCGACATCTCTGTTTTCCCTTCCAACCAACTAATGGCAACAGAAACCGGTTTTCAACTCCTGCAAGCAAGTTTAAGCATTAATCTTGTGCTGTCCAAGTTTAGATAAACTAGTTTAGTTTCTCCTTTTGACTAGCTACAGATTACGTGGCAAAAAAAAAAAAAAAAAAAAAAAAAGTCTTTTACTATTGTGTATGCAAACTATGCTGGTCCAGCTGTTGGAACAGAAGACGCCTTCAGAGCGAAGATCTCAAAGAACCTTTACATTTCATGCCAGAGGTGGGGGAAGGAGTGTGATATAACTACTTTTGCTAGGTAGCACTTCAAAGCAGAAGTAAGCTAGAACAGGTGTTTTACTGGTATTAAAGCAGAAAGCTTGTGCTTTACAAACTGCAGTTTCCTATGCACCAGAAGACAAAATTGCTCAGATCTTCAGAGAACACGACAGCCCTGCTACTGTGATATACGAAAAGCCTACTGAAGCGAAGAATTTAACCCCTGAAACGGTGACAGATCTGCCTGTGATTCTGAGCGCTGCACCCACTAATCAATGGGTATCATGTCACTTCTACTATTTGCATTTGCAAAACAAGAGCTCATTTCACAAAGAAAGATTCCCAAGTCCAGTACTATCAAGTTCCAATTGCTTCCAAATCCAAAGGATTTTTTTTTTTTTAACTACAATAACTTGCTGCATGCTTTATGCAGGAGTGTCACACTCCATTTCATCTTTTCTTTCTCCGTGCTTAGACTTGACCATTCAACATTACACATTGTTTATTTTAATCCTTCCTCCTGAAGACAGAACAGCTTTTTCCCCCTCTTTGGAATGAGCCTCACATATTGCACATGCTTTCCAACAGAAGAATGTTTTTGCAACCAGTTCTGCTCTAATAAACCGGTCTATTTACATGAAACCTAGTACACCCCAAGCACTGGTGACGAATTTATTTTACATTACCTTCAAAAGAAAAGCAATGCAAAGTGGATTCAAAACACAGCTTCTGTTTTGTCAGACAAAGTATTTCGCTACTAACTTGTCTTTGATTCCATGAAAGTTCCACAAGGGCATCACATTTCTCTTCCCTGATAGGTCACAGAGTAGAAAAAACACTCCAAAAATCTACGTTCCAACCCCGAGAAGAAAGGGTCGATTGAATTACAAGGCTAGTTGAAGGGCTTCCCAACTTCAATAATCCACAATTTATGCCAAGATTTCTGCAGTCACCTGGAAGGATGGTCAGAGGATACAAGCCATCCACTTCACTAAAAGCTTCGTGTTGTACAAGCACGCCCTTGAAGCCTGAGCTCCCCCTGCTCTTTCCAAGGGGCTGAGAAGCAGCTCTCAGGAGGTTTGAAAGAACTACTCCAGGTTCGTGGTGCCAGCAAAGATCTACAGTCCAAGTACAAGCCTTACTATGTCTGTCTCCTAAAAAACTAATGCTTTCCATGTCACACAGAAATAACTTCTCTAAGCACTACTCTCATTCATCACGGCAAGTTTATGAAGTTTGTGATTTCAGCCACTCTAAATATAATTGGTCAGAATGTTTTTTGGGGGTTTTTGTTTGTTTGTTTTTCCATAAATTAAATGGAAAATAAAAACTCTTAAAGATTCTTTAAGGCGAGTACTTCAGCAGAGAGGCTATGACTTTATCTGAACACCCCAGCACTACAAAGGCTGTCTCAACACAATACTCTGGAGTGGGAGACTGGAAGAAGCAAGCCTGAGTTCTTCAAATCCGTGAAATTGAGTCATTTCCAGTTAATTTCAACCACACTGGGGTTTACAGTAACAGTTCCTCCAATATTGCTTTATACAATTTTATCTAGATATCACTGGCATTAACAGGATCTGGAAGGCATCATTCAGAGACAGTTTAGGTGCTCAGGCTCAGCTTATCTTGTTAGCAGAATACTTCAGAGGTGACAAATCTTGAACAAAAGAGTTAGGGCAGCTATGACTTCCAGTCCAAAAAAAAAAAAAAAAAAAATCAACAGCGGAACAACATGACTGCATGGGATCATCCAACAACCTGTGGAAGGGTTACTATCTTCCACATACATTTGCATTCTCTAAGAGATACGTAAGGAAGTCAGTATTATGAAAACATAATAAGGTAGCTCAAAGTGCCATGGGAAAGGCTGTGAGCCTTACTGCATTTTAAGTTTTCACTGTCATCCTACAGGGCTACAGGATCAGCACAAACAGTTCATAATCTGGTTGTACACGTTCAAAGCAAAGTGACAGGAAACTAAAAATTAAGACAACTGAAAGTGTGCTTTACTGTTCTCCTGCGTTACTCCGGTCACTTAGGACACTCAAGTTCTAGAGACCTACAGATCTAAGGAAGCCATGAGAAACAGTTTATCCACACAGTATTTCCAGAAATAGAGAGACAAATGCGGCCTTTTACCCACTTACGCAAAAATAAAAATTCGTGTTGTAACAACTTTACTGAACCTTATCACTGGCAAAAGTCAGGTTCCCCACTGTATTAGGATTTACCCGCTTAGTACTTTTGGCATGAACTCCAACACGTTGGTATGCAGAACTATTTACAAGTCAGAAACATCACAGATTTCCCTTTGGAAAACTTCTTAGCTTTCCTACTGAGAAAAGAAAAAAAAGAGGAACTTTGCTACTGCATTTGCTGCACTTAGGTCTCGGTCCAAGAAGTAACTCTTTTAGGCCCAAGTAACAAACCAGAGAAAAATATTTTATAAGCTCATATATAAAATACAAGCTTCAAGCCCTACGTAGCCAAGTAGAGTATTATAAATTCTTACTCTGAATCTGTTCTTACAGATCAGCACTTGGGCTTCAGGCAAGACTTTCAACTTAAGAACAGAGAGCACACAGTGCCCATTCTGGCAAGTCAATCCAACACTTAGTTGCAAAACTTCATCGGGATTTAGAGATTGTGTAACAACCCAAAAGATGAACACACACTGTGATGTGTTTGTAACAATAAATAAATTACAAATATACTTTTTTTAAATCCCTCTGACAAAGGAAACCTAAGTTCTTGAGTCAGCTACAGCTTCATTTGATGTAATATTAAAACTTGATGTCTCTAGAATGTCTAATACTTTGGAGGAAAAGTGCCCTGCATGTAGGTTTGTTCATAATGCAAAAAAGCACTTCTGACAAGTACAGCGTAACATCAGCATCTCATTTCAGAGATCAGATCTCTCTCATGCCAGTCAATGAGAGAGAAGGTGAGTTCTGTATTTGTCTCCAACATTGTAAATACAAGCAGCGTAGATTTACAGAACAGTTTGAAGAACACTAGGTAGTGTGTATTATTAATACAGGCCACTTCCAACAACACTGCATGAACCCGTTTGCTGCAGGAGGAGTAAAGGACAGCTGACTGAGCATCTCAAACCGGCATTGGGGACATGACATCATGACAGGAGTCACATTTAGGTCCAGCCTCGTAAGGACTTTCTGCAGCTTTCAGGCACATTTAAGATAAATAAAAGCAACTTCAAACTACATTCTACATGTTAAACAACAATTGCACTTTGCTCAGAACACAGATGTTTCAGCACACAGTTTTTTAAAAAAAGCAGTCTTTTCATAATACGAGCTTTTCTCCATGCACACAAACATTTTTACATGCAGTACTACATGACATATGCTCGTGAAAGATCCCAAAGAAAATATGCTTGTCCAAAACACTTTTTTTGCTTTTTCTTACTTCTCAGTATTAAAAATACCACCTAGCAGTAACCCAGTTGACTACAGGTCTTACAAAAATAAAATTCCAATGCAATTCCCAGTTCTGCAAACATGTACATATAAGGGACTGCTTACACGATAATTTATATAAATAGCTTTACAAATTCAAGACTTCTGTATCCTTGCGAAGGCATGTTTTACTATGAATTCAAACTGCAATTATACAGAGCCAGAAAGTAGAACTAAGAACCCAAAACTGTTTAAGAAAGAAAGCAAGCCTACTCAAACTACTCAAACTTCATGTGCAGGTTAAGAGCTTCAGTTAACAGAAATACTAGACTAGAGGCGAAAAGAAAGTACAGCAGCCTAACTCATCGTTTCAGTTCTGGGTTGTGTGTGAGAAACTAATTACAGCCTAAGTGTTAGCTTCAGATTGAAAAAAAAAAAAAAAAAAAAAGGTTAAGCTAGTATTCTAAAAACCTGGACAGCAAAGAAAAAAGCTTATAACAAGATACAGGAGTTCTTCCAAATGGTTCACCAGCGGCCAACCTGTTAGTCCCCCGATTCCAGTGACCTATTCTCAGAGCACTGGCTTCTCCTTGGGGATTTTCGATACTTCACTCACTGTTGCCATGACGACAGCTTCATCTTTATGTACCACTCCACATCACCCAGGCTTTGGTAAATGTAGCTGGTCGCTGTATAGTCGGTTGCAAGGGAAAAAAGAGTTGAAGTTAATAACGTGTACAGATTATGTAATTGTAATCTTGTAAAAAGTACAGAAAAACGTTTACATCCTGCTTGTTAAAAAAAAAAAAAAAGGCAAGTCTGAGTATCAGACTTCAGCATTTTTAAGATTAATTTCATGCAGATTCACTCAGAATCTCAGAGCAACAATACCCATTTCTCCAGAAAATAATGGGTAGAAGTGCATGATTTCTCTCGACATGATGCATTTTAGACACCATGTAACATGCACATGTGACATTGTGATTTGGAACAGGCTAGCTGGAAAGATTTAAGTTCACAGGTTAAGTTCAGTTTCTCTGATCCTTCGCACAACACAAAGAAGCAACTAATTTATATTCTCATTGCAAAGAAAAGCATTGCATATGATTAATTAACCTTCACTGCCTGGATCAAGGCCGAAACATTACGAATCACTGAACCAGCTTCAATAAATCAAATAACCAGACTCCCTCATCATAACTATGGTAAGAAACAATACCACCAAACTCACATTCAGCGTAACTTCACAAAACTGTCTCAGGGACATCTGGAATAACAACTTAAAAAGAAGAAAGCTAAGTTCCAAAGTATGACACTGAACCATTCTTCTTTTACCTAAAACTAACTAGGAAAACACGAGCACAAGGCAGTGAAAGCAGAAGTTTCAGATTCAACAGAAGCATAACCAGGATAAAGGCACCAAGAAACAGCTGGTTTCCCTAAGGCATTTCTACTCTACCACTCAGAAAAGGCGATACAACACTAAAGTTTAAATTCTTGCTGTAACCTGGTGATACAGAGCAGAGAAATGGAAGTATGAATTTAAGAATCCAGCGGAAAACAAAATCCTTCTGTAACTATGGATTGCCTTACACTTTAAGCCATCAGCCACTAAAAGTAAAGCTACTCCATCACAGCTGACGTCTCCAATCTCACAGATCATAATACTGCTGCAGGACAGATTTAAAAAATTCCGCATCTAATAGCAACTCAGAAAACTCCTTCCCTTCAACCATTCCTTGTTCCTTCCAATACGTCGAGTTAGTTTGCTTTACACGTGAAAACACACAAAAAAGCAGTATTAGGCAATCACAACTGAGAACAGCTCTACAGCTCAGCGGACAGTTATCCACATCTGCACACAGGTCAGCTAAGCTTACACTCCAACTTCACCAACACAAGCACACGGTACCATGACAAACACAAGTCTCACTTTTTCCAATTAAAGGTGCCTTCAGCTTCCAAGACTCAATTACACATTCCTTGTTGAAGTGGTGTCATTAAAGCTGCGAACACTGTAGGCCAAACCATACTTTTTTTCAGATACTTCCTAAAAATCACTCTTTCTAAAAGATAATACTATCATCACTGGGAAAATTTCAGCTTTCATCTTTTGTTAACTGATACTTTATCAGCACCATAACTGCACGGGGACAGCTACATACTAACAAGAAAAAAGCATTAACACTACTATACGTGGTTGAAAGCCTGAAGAATATACAGCAACTCACTAATTGGCTACTCGTACCTAAGACTACCTTTCAAGAACGACACGGTATCAAAAACCAATTAGCAATACACCTAAAACTACAACAATGAACCTAAAACTAGAACCAATACTCATGACTTAAAAGGAAAACGGGTCTACCGAGTAAACAAAAGGAACGGTGGAAGAAGTCAGCATTGACCTGTACTGCCTACATAGCGGTCAATGAGCACTCCCTTCTCAATTTTAGGTCGTTGAACTTAGCCTGGAAAAATACTGTGAATTGAAAAAATCGCAGTGTACATTAGTGACAGCAGGTGCTTACATTCATAACGAAGCTAATCTTACCTTTTTGCTCTTAACTGACGCAAATGATGAAACACGTTGATCACGTCCCTTATGCGACGAGGCGCCTCCTCGATTTTGGATGCGAGATTAATGCAGGCCATAGCAACAATCTGAAAGGAAGCCGCGTTTTCATGAGAAAGTGACTTTTTAAATCCCGGTAAGACTAGAACAACACAATTAAGGAAAAAAAAGAAAAAAAAAAAAAAAAAAAAAAAAAAGAAACCCACCCGTGGCCTAGAGGCTCGAAGAGAGCAGCCTGTTTGGCCAAATTCACCGGTCGCCCAGAAAAGCGCCCAGCGCCTCCCTCCTCCCCCTCTCCATTCCCCGTTTCCCCGGCAGGCCGCGCCGCGCTCACCTCGAAGCTGTGCTTGACGAAAGACTTCGAATAGAAGAACCGATGAAACAGCACCTGCCCCGTCGCCATCGCCACCTGCGAACGCCGAGACGGGAGGGAAGGAGGGAGGGAGAAGGAGCGGGAGTCACTCAACGGGTCTAAACCGCCGCCGCCGCCGCCATTTTGTGCGAGGCACCAGCCGGCGCGCCCCCCCCCCGCGCGGCCGCCTCACACGCCCTGCCCGCCGCGCCACAATGGCGGCGCCCGCCCGCCCTCCTTCCCTCCCTCCCTCCCTCCCCCCGGCGCGGCCCGCACCCACCTGCGGCAAGCGGAGGAGGATGCCGGCCGCCTGGATGAGCTCGCAGCCCAGGATGCGCAGGTCGGTCTCGCACTGCAAATCCAGGCCGTCCTGCATGGAGGGAGTGGGCGAGAGGCGCTCCTCGGGGATAAGCGAGTGGTCGATGGTGAGCGACACCTCCGAGTACAGCCGGTCGCCGATAAGGATGCCCGGGGCGGCGGGAGGAGGAGGCGGCGGCGGCGCGGCGGCGGCGGCAGCGGGGGTGGCGGGGGCTGAGGCTGGGTGCGCGGCGGCGGAGGCCATGATGGCGGAGCGCGTCCGCACCCGCAGCCGGCCACGCACAGACTAGCGCGGCCCGACGCTGTGACGCAGCACACAGCGGCGCCGCCGCGCGGCACGCCGGGAAAAAAAAGTCCGCCGGCGCCGCCCTCCCCCTCCTTCTTCCTCTTCTTCTTCCTCCTCTTTTCTTTTTCCTCTTCTTTTTCCTCTTCTTCCTCCTCGTTTGGCAAGCGAGGAATTAAACGAGACCACGCGAGCAGCTGCCCCGGCTCTCACAGCGCTGCGGCTGGAGAGGGCTGCCGGCGTTACTCACTTTCTTTTTTTTATTATTAAAAGGATTTTCCACTGCTAAAGGTCTTAAACGGTGGAAAACAACTGGCTGCGGCGCACGCTTCGCAGCGGTAAAGGAAACTAAACTGTGCTTTAAAGCCCGCGTAGGTTAACTGGTCCGTGCTAGCTCGGCTGGGGCTGCGGCGGGGATTAAGGTGCTTGCAGTGTGTCACACGGGAAAGAAAAAAAAAAAAAAAAAAATCTGTAAAATTGAGCAAGAAAGCAAACAGGATGGCTGTGCTGCAATACTGATGCAAGGTGGGCGGTGTATTTCCAGAGTGGAAGCATACTCCAGCAAAAAGTGATCTGCTTCGTTTATTATGGAAGAAAACCCCAACACGTTAAACAACTACCATTTAAGCCATTGTGCATAAAAATTATGTTAAGCGTTGGGGAAACAGCCCCAGCGAACAAGATAACATGCAGAGCCAATTCTGGAGGTTTTTCCCCTCATTCTGTTGCTGGCTGTGTAACCAGTCCATCGCGGCTGCTTGGGCCACGCTCTACACTCACTGTTCTGCGTTCCCCTTACTAGAAAGTCATTATGTTTACAACCTACCACTTCCCGGTTATGTCATGCAAGGCTGTGTGGTAGCTCTGATGATTTGATTATCAGTAAAGGTGCGTTTGAGAGCTGGAGTCTCCTTTCAGCGGGCTTAGGACATCGCAATGGAAACACTGCCTAGCGTAGCAACATACCCGCTGAAATTATTCTGAAAAAACATGGGTCGCTTGGTTACGACCCTACAAACGACATAAATGCGACACCTGGATTTCCTAGTACTCAATTACCCTCCCCAACTCCCGATTTTTTTTATTTTTTTTTTTTTTTTATGCAGGAGAGAAGCTGCCGGCATGTTGTTGTTGGCAGCCCGGCTGCCCTCCCCCAGGCCCCGGCTGTCCCTCTTCCTGAGGAGGCGGCTGGAAGGCGGGCCGGTACGCTCGGGAGAGGACAGCGTGAGGGCGGCGGCACCGAGATCGGCGAGGCGGTGCCTCCCCTACGGCGGCTGCTCAGCCCTCAGCCCGCCGCGGCGGCAGCCATTACCTCAGCGCAGCCATTACCTCAGCGCAGCCCCGGGGGACGGAGGAGGGGGGGGAACCGGCCGCGCACGAAGCACCGGCCGCTTCCTCCGAGTGCCGCCGTCTTAGAAGCCCCTCAGCGACCCCCGCCCGCCTGTCGCCGCCCGCCGTGACCGCGGCCACCGGGAATTCCCCCCCCCCGGGTCTACACATCACTTCTCGGAAAAACCGCACCACCCTCCCTCGCTGGCCATATCCCTCCGCGCGCCCTGACCGGGACTAACCCCCCGCGGCCCTATCCGCACGCGAATTACACGGAAAATCCCGCCCCCGGCGGGCAGCTTTCGGAATCTGATTGGTTCGCTCGGCCTGAGTGGCAGGGTCTCCCCGCCTCGGCCCCCGGCCGCCATGTTGTGTGAGTGTGTGTGTGGAAGAGCGGGCCGCCGTCCCCTCCGCCGCCCGTGGCCTCGGGTGTCCCTTCAGCCGCGGGTTTGGGCTGGCTCTGGGGGCAGACGAAGCCGTCCAGTTTCACCCCGGCAGGCAGCACGGGGCCGGAGGGGGGTCCTGTGGAGATCCGGCAGCGCGGTGTTGTCGCGGCCTCCCTCCACAAGGCCCTTGTCCGGAGAGGGAGATAAGGCTGGGCCGGCGGCGCAGGCCTTGTCTGGAACAGGGACTAGCTCCCCTCAGGGGTCCTTCTGATCCCTCCTCCTCTGCCTAGAAGGGCCCAGCGTCCTACACATTCGCAGCAATGCGTTGTAATCTTCCCCCCCCATGAGACAGGGTGCCTGATAGCTGACTGATCCGTAATCCTGCAGCAACTCGCCAAACAGCTGTAGGACTGCAAAGCAAGGAAAGAAACGGTGACTGTGCTACGGCAGGAGATATCTCCGAAGAGGAAAGGCCAGGGCCAGCAGGACCTACTAGAGGGGACATGCTCGCTGTTAGCTAGGCACGGTAATTTCATGCGTGCGTGTGGGACACCTCTCGGTCAGATGGGCTCATCTCTGCTGTTTCAACCTCACGGGGCAGGCCGACAGCTCTGCAGGGAGAGTTAAGGTCGCAGTGCTGCAGAGGGCACAGGAAAGATTTATTATTCTTTTCCATTCGTTGTCGTGGATGAGCAGATGGAGCAGAGGGTTTCCAGGACCTGAAGTTGCCTAATCCCCATGGAACCAGGCCAGGTTGCAGTATAATAATTAATTGAGCAAAGGGTCAGAGCAATTCACTGCTGCCAGAGACTCTTGTGCTAAGAGAGCCTAAGATAGCAGAGAGATACAAATCCAAGATTTTTATCAGGAAAAATCTGCAGAAATCTGGGCTGTCAGGCTTTCACAGGAATGGCCTTGCTGAAGGAGGTGCCCGTGGCCTGGCTGGCTCTTCTGGGACCAGCCAGTGCTGGAGGTAGAGTGGTTGGGTGTGGGACCTTACTGTGTCATGCTTACAGTAATTAGTCAAACTTTCCTAGTTTTAAAAGCAAGCCTTTTAGAAAGATCACTGAGTCCACAGCACACAACGTTTACATTTTAGCCTTCCTTTCTGTTTATAGTTTGGGGTTTGAGAACCAGTCTAAATATCACTGAAATAGCGCTTTTTATAGAAATAGAGCGTTTCATTGGGAGGTGCTGTACTTGCAGGGTCATGACTCAGCAGGGATTCTAGTTAGTTGGAAGGGTTAGTGTGCTCACCCTTTTTTCCTTGTCCTTCCACAGGCATCCTCCCTTTCGCCATGTACCATGCTGTCATGAGATTTAGAAACAATTTTGCGTAGATAAAAAAAATCTCACCACCAACCCAGAACATCACTGGCCTTTCAGAAACCTGCAACAGCCAAGAAAAGTCCAGTGAACCCACGACGCTAGCGCTAAGCATCTCCAATGACAAAAGCAATTTATAGTCCATTGACATACTGAAGATTAAAGAAATAGTAGTAAAAAGGGAGCTGGGAAAAAATTGCCATGGTTGGCTCAGATCGTTAACTCTCATTATTCTGAAGGTGGTAATGCCAGGATATTTGGTATTTGCAGAAGGCAAACAGGCTCCTTCAGTTTTCATAGCAGTTAGCAAGGTGTGCCAAACAGGCTGGAAAGAGGGCAAAGTAAGAGTCATGCGAGCAGCAGGTGCCACTCATTGGAGTGGAATTTGCTCACTTTTTCTGCCATGCACACACACATCATGTATTGGTTTTAATTTGCTCTGGTTTACCAGGTTACATTTTGATGTTAAAACCCTGCAGAGAAGTGTATTTGCTTTCCTCAGGTGGCTCAACCTGCCTGTACCATTCTTACCCATTCTTGATGTTTTTCATGTATATATTTTTAATAAAGTTGAGCAATGCGTTCTCCCCTCAGCTGTTATGCAATAGGAAGCCTTAGCTATGCCAGAAAGTTCTGCTGTAGCACATTTCAAAATAAAGAGGGCAAACAGCTCGCAGTAGCTGGTGAGCTGGTACCGGATGTCTGCAAACTGGTAAACAAGAAGTTACAGTAATGTTTTATTTTGCAACACAGTCCACAGGAGGTGGTGCCCACGCGCGGTCCCCTTGCTGTAGAGGTGTGCCCAGATGTGCACAGTAGACAACTTCAACCTGTTAATGAAGCAGCATAATAAGTTCATGTTTTGTTGCCAGGACACAGTACACTGCTGGAAAACAGTGGCAATAATTGGGTGAGTCATGAATGTGAGTGCACTAACGAGCCTAATTCTTTTGTGCCCTTTGGCCTGCGACTGTACAGTTCATGGAAGCCCTTTCTGTAGATGGGTTGCATGCAGATAGCTGCTGACATTCAAATGGATGCTAGAATACATGTGTTTGGTGTGGTATGTTCCCACATAACAGCCCACGGTCACGCCCAGCATTTGCAACGTTGGTGTCTGTGTAAATGTGGCATCAGTGCTATGTTGCCTCCAGCTTTTGATCATCATCCTTCCTCGCCTCCCGCAGCACGTGCAGCTGCCACGGCTCCCGCGCAGGGCTGCCCCGAGGCACCGCCGGAGCACGAGCCCCACTGCTGGCCCTTTGGGAAGGAGCGGTTCCCCAGTGCACCCCAGCAAGCACACACACTTGGGACTGGGATATAGCAGCATGTCACGTCTGCCGAGTCTGCTGTGTCTGTCCTGCATCGTCTGGCAATGCTGTTTCATTCTTCCAGGCTTCCGATGGCAGTCACAGACCCCAAAGCTGAGCAAGAAATTGCTGTGGCAGAGGATGGCTGAGCTGAAAAGCAGGCAGCACCAGCTTCCGAGTGAGCCTTGGGGGAAGGAAGCTTGAAGATAGCCTAAAATCTCTTAGTGGGTAATTAGACCACCTTGGTGCCTAAAATCCCCTGAGGATTTTACAGGTTTGTCGGCAAACGTTTCACAAAAGATAATAAAAGAACAGGTTCTTAGCAAAGAACTGCAAATTGCACTGTGCAATTACCTTAGTGCAATAAAAAGGATTTGTTTGGAAAACCAACAGTCTGTGATGACAGAAAAATCTAATATCCTTAAACAATGACAGATGTCAGTATGTAAGAAAACGGTATGATAGGAAGAAGTGAGGCAGTAAAATACTTTGACATGAGCTGATAGCTGAAAGTTTCTGCGCTCATATCAACTAGACCAGACTAAGAGAAGAGAGGCTATTGTTGGATTATTCATTGCATTCCACTAATTTTTTACTTTGGACGTTTTTGAAAATTGGGTGGTTTTTAAATCAAAGCATTTAGGAGGTTGACTTCCAATCTTCGTGCCAAATCTGATAAATTAACCAA